ATCAGATAATTTCTCTACATAACACATACAAATTCTATGATTTTTTGACAAATGGTGTTAACATGGCAGATTATCCATATAATATCACTAAACGGAGCTTCTTTCTCATCTGCAAATGGTTAAGATTTTTTTAGAAAAGAATTTTACTTTATATTTCTCTACACACTTATTGATATCATATACAACTAATAGAATTCAATTTGAGTTTGTTGGAAATGATATTTAATAAGCAGACATCAAATTATTACTTACTAGAAAATTAAAATAGAATAAATAAATAAAATATTAAAAGCAGCATAGTGTTAAAAATTAAATGAAAATTTAATTGCAAATAAGATAAATAACAACTGTCTTGTCTCCCTTATATTTTAACATTTAAAATGAATTTTTAATGGGTAATATAAGCAATATAATGATTACAATTACTTTTATTAAATCACGCAAGAGCTAAATAAAATGGATTAAATTATTACAGTCCATGGAAAAACAAACCAAATGAAAAAAAATGATCATATATATATATTATCCGATGTTTATAAGAACTGAAAACTGTTAAAATGCAAGATTAAATAATGAAATATGTCAGAAAGGAACAAATCGAGATTCTATACTTTGGGGAAAAAAAAAAACTTAAGAATTTCAGTATGTAAGTATACGTAAATCTATAACTTTTACTAAAATATTTAATTTTTTGAAAATAGTTTATTTTAAGATCTTTATAATAATAGTGTATTAAAAACAAAAAGCTTTTTTTAACATCACATATTATACAGTCAAAAGTCTTTAATCCAGACTCGTCGGGAGTTTGTCTATTCCGGATTATAGATCATCAGTTTAAATCTGGTAAGATGGCATGCAGAAATTATAAAATAAAAATATGAAACTGTAATTTATGAAATAAAGAGCAACTATGATCTACAAAATTATCAAAATTACAAAAAAAAAAAAAAAAAAAAAAAAGGCTTAATATTTATTTGTTTACTTTATTAAACATTTCTTTCAACGCACGCATGCGTAAAGCATACATTACGCATAGTCGAAATTATAAAATTGCAACCAGAAAACTATTTGATGTATATTCGTGATATTTATAATGACGAGGAATTTGATTTAAATCATATCAAAGACGGAGTACATCGAGATGAAATACTACATTTAGTAAGGAATTATAAGCTGAATAAAATAAAAACATCTGCTGTGAAGATAAGGATAGTGCTGACAGATCAACTTCCAGTTCATTGTGCCCCTCAAAAATCCCAAATAAAAATTATTAAGAATTACATAGTAATGCAGGGGGAGATGCAATCTTCATGTGCTTATGTGCAGAGAAAAACAAACAAACGAGAAATGAAAGACAGAGTGATGGGAATAATAATATTTTAATAAGCAAATTGTTACCGTTGTAGTATTTAGAGATCACAGTAAATGTCTGAAGTTAAAGCTGCCAGATACTATACAAGCATGACACCAGAATCATGGACTTTTTGGAATATATCCGAGGTCTTGCCCATCTTACAACCCGAATAGAGTTCTTCCAAGAAAATCTTATAACACATCCACCCAGATGAACAGGCATTAGATATTGCCTATTATTTGGTCTGCCCAAACAAGGACACTGGTGGTGTGCTGCACATGGGGCTGTCTTCTGCACACATATATGTGTGTTATGGGTGTTATAGGAGCCTTCTCTGTTAAAGTATCCCTTGCCAGTGAACAGAATAGCAATAGGAAAATGCGGTTCTATCGCACAATTCTGCTTGTACCAACCAATCAGCAAATGCATTTAGCAGTTGCTGTACCCATTGCTTATGGTATAGATACGAGCAGTCCAAGTGCAGGATTTTCCAGACAATGGTTTCTGAAACAGTAAGGCTTGTAGAGATTGCTTGTGTGCTGATATCTAGATTCTTTTTTGCATGACAGAGCATCACTTCTTCTATTTCAGGTGTCCACGTCATTCATTCCTAATTCTTTCGACCATCCCAAAAAGTTCTGTACTGTAAATTCTGTTCTTTGATGCAGCCGTACAAACATGCCTATTAGAGTACCACTCAATGTACAGACAAACAACTGTTCCATATGCTAGATGCGTACCTGCTACCTTGAAATGAATCATCCAACTTCCTCTGTGACTGATTGTCAAATGCCCAAATTTTGTTAGCAAAGGTTTTATCTTTCCATAACAAAGTCCTCTAGTGCACTATGAATGCACTTCCCCCCCCATACGTTATTAGGTATTTCTGAATTGTGTTTAAGTAACTTACCCCACTCTCTTAAGTTTGTACACATTTAAATGAATTACCGTAATTTCCGGAAGAAGCGCCGCGGCGTTTACGTGTTTAAAACTTAAATTTTCAGCGGGTGCACTGAAAATAAAATATTTCCTATGATGGTCATTGTACATAGTTTGGATGGCCTTGTCATTGTGCATAGACTGGTGCTGTTCCCACACAAAAGACCACTCAGTTGCTTTTTGCGAACGTTATTTTGTTTACATTCTTTCCCTTGAACGGATCTACATGCCTTATTCACCCTAAACGTATCTCAGAACAATAACATTCTTCCCCCTTTCAATCAAACATTCTCATCAGTTTGAATAGTCCTCTCCTCTGTGATTCGATGAATCTTCCAGGACCTATCCTCTCCTCACCCTGCCTTTTCTGCAATTTTTTTCAAAGGCGGGCACGACTCCACCGGCCTCGCAATAACGAACTGTGACGTATTTCCCTTCAGAATGAATGGATTTTTCTTGACATTCTGCCAATACAGATCCCATCAGTTTGGGTACAAGTACTTGTTGAATAGTTTTTAAGTAAGAAGGGAGCGGAAAATTTTGAAAATGTCTCTAAACGGCCAGAAAAACTATACATTTCTTGCTTTAATTTATTTTTGAGTTATGGTTTCATTTAATGCATTTTTCTTAACTGGTATGTCATATATCAGGACTTAGGTTGAGTTTTTGCATCTATACGACCCACGACGATGTCACGCGCAATTTAATCTATTGCGGCGTTTCTGTGTAATTTAAATTTTTTTCCTGCCATTTTTCTTGAGTGCGGCGTTTACGCTGATGCGGCCTTTCTTCCAGAAATTACGGTCACCTGAATTAATATATGCATATGAAATAATACAGAACCTAGTGGCATAGTTGTCAGTGATAAAAATTCATGCATCATGAACTTGATGTAATTATGATAGATTACAAAATGATCATTCTTGATGTTTACGCAACTAAATTGGTGCATTCTGCACACCTTATTCTTTAACACATTTAAAATTTTTAAGAGTTGCATAAAATAAGGAAAACAAGGACAGCAATCCCGACAGAGAGAGAATGAGACGTGTCCAAGATGAAAGTATGGTTCAGAATGATTTAGTTTCACACTTCACACTTCACCTTTAGTGGATAATTTTAAGTTATGTTTTCCAAATTTGAAATTATTATTGACTGAAATTTTATGTAAGAATGATATTACACAGGCTAATTTTGAAATCATGCAGTTTAAAGAGATTTTTTAAAAGCAGTAATTGTTTTTAAACAACAGAAAGAGGAAATAATCATACTAAAATGGAGGATGAAATGTCTATTATAAATTAAAGTCAGAATTTTGATTTACATATTTTTCTCTTCTCAATGATTAACAAAATCATTTATCATTTTATAAAAATATAAATTTTATATATATATATATATATATAATGTTGTATGAACTTAAATCCATTTAGTGCGAATACAAGGCACACTTTTAAAATAATTCTACTTTAATTAAACTTAGGAGATAATATAATCAATTAATCAATACTGTTTAGGAAATAAATTATTATATATATATATATAATTATATATCATTTTTAAAAATATCATATAAAATATACTAGAAAATAAAAATATTTTTTTTAATCTCGTTAACATTCTTCATTACTTCAAGTTTTCTCTAATGATCAATCATTTTATTATTCACTTGTCATTTTTGCATGAAACATGATCTTTCTCTCTCCTCCTTTTTTTTAAATGTGAAGTGCAACTTTTGAAGTACATGCATTCTCATTTCCTTACTGAATATAAAGAAATTTTCTACAAAATTACCAATGAAAGAACAGATATAAAGTATACTTTACTTTCTCACAGAAGTGCAAAAATATTTTCAGCTTCCTTCATGTGTTTCAATCATTACAAATTAAATGCGCTTAATGTTAAACTTGTTTTATAAAAATTCTAACAACATTTATTGTCATTCTGCATATTGAACTCAAAAACCAGGCTGAAAATTATGTACCATTTAACACTTTTTCACAAATTTGATTATTTAATTATATATTAGATACTCAAATAGTTACTCACTACAACGAAATTTTGATGAACAAGAATGGATTGACTATATATTAAGAATTTATTTCAGATTTTGTAACAAATTCTGAATTTTAATATTTTTATTGACTCTTCTTAAGGGGATGGGAAAGCCTCCCCCCCTTTTTTTTTTCATAATGGAAACATGTTGTTGTGACTCATCTCACTTGTTTGACAGTAACATCAGAACAAGCCCATGAAATTCATCGTGGCATGGAGTGCAAATTTGTGCCTGTTGTTGGCAAGAGCCTTGAGCACCCTGGGGAATGAGTCCGACAGTCTCCCACCCCTCTTCCCCTCTCACGAGAGGACTTTCGACTCACTGCGTATTTAGAGTGCACAGACACTATACACTTAAAAACATCCATGCCTTCTCTGGGATTCGAACCCAGGCTCTTTAGTATGGCAGTTAGCATCACTAACCACTATACCAGTTTGGCGGCTAAAGGAAACACCTTTTTATTTATCATTATTAATTATTTTAAACAGATTTCAAGATTATTTTGCAATATGATACTTTTCAAAAAATGATAATGATAATAAAGGAATGAACAGGGATTAATTGAAATTCAATTACAATATACAATCATAAAATTCTCCTGATAATAAATACTAATGATAGAAGAACTATGAAAAATGAAAAGTGTATTACCTTTCAACAGTTTTTTGAAGCCTTTCTTTACTGAGATTTATCGCACTGCGGGAGTAGGTAATTATGCCATTCTGGCTATTTAAAAGCATATTAATACTCATTCTAATTGCATTTATCTGAAAGAGAAAAATAAAAATTTATGACATATATACAAAACTACATGGATTCCATTAATATCAATTGCTACAATAACGTTTATAATTTGAAATTCTATATAATTAAATACTCACATAACAACGAATCTAAAATATAAAGTTTGCAAAAAATTTCACCAATTCATTCAAATTATCAATCCAGTTTGAAAAAAATAAAAATAAAATTTTAAGATATGTAAAATAAATAGTTGTCTTGCATTCTTTATTAATCAAAATGCAAAATATACCACTGCAGCTTAAAAAATTAATTCAAATAATTTATTCACCCTCCCAACTTGCTATCATTGCCTAAAAACAGACTCAAAAAAGATATTTTTGAATTCACCAGTATCCCTATTGTTTTGTATCTAGATGCTTTTCGTTATACTTTAATGGTATGCAAGCATTCAAAATAAAGCAGTGTTTCATATAATGAATGTAATCCATTCCATGAATACATTTGTTCTCACTTTCAATTGTTTCTTTGACTGCTGCATTCCACGATACCAATTATTTGAGATCACTAACAAGTACATCTATTCTGGTATGTCCCATGATAGCTCAATAACAAATGCAGTTGTTTCTAAGATACATTTTGTGAGGGAATAGCAACTGAAAAGAAACGACTTAAAATTAATTTCACGCAATATAAATTAAATATAAATAAAAATGAGCAGAAAAAGGAATAAAAACATCCGATGTGCACACAACGATTTCCTTGCATGATCTATTAAATTATACACGTATTTTGTTGCATTTCATTTAAACTTATTTCCTTGAATTTCATTTCAGATCTATTTCTCACTCAATTAATTCAGTTCTCACTTTGCAGAAAGGCAAAAATAAATAAAAACTCAAAACATCCTCATAAAAAATTGCAAAATACAAAGAAACATAAAACGCCAAATACTGTTAAAAATGTTGGCAACCGCCGTCAATTCCCCTAGCGCGTGCGCATGATAAGCAAGTTCTCTGCTGCGTAATACTTATACTTAGTTAATACGCAGTTAGCCAAAGTCAATGGTGAGTATTGCATTGCACAGTTAAGCGCTATCTGGGCCCATAACCTATGAAGAATAAAATGATGTCTACATAACAAACATTTATTTTAACTATGAAGACGTTGAACAGCAGAGTAGAAACATAATATTACACAGCGCTTTGCACTTCTCTCTTACATGCAATACTCACCATTGACTTTGGCTAACTACCTATTAACTAAGTATAAGTATTACGCAGCAGAGAACTTGCTTATCATGCGCATGCGAAATGGTAAATGGAAATTTAGATGAAGAAATCTACATGGAAAAAGGAATATCGCTATACAGTTGTAAATAAAAATGAACAAACTCAAAATGCTGTTGAGGAAAGCATTAATCCTACGGTGCAAGAAGCATTAAATGGACCATATGCTGAAAATTGGCATAATGCCATGCGTTAGAATATAACTCGCTTGTTCAAGAAAGCTTGGGAATTAGTAAAAGACCTGAAAAAACAAAAAGTTATTGGTAGTAAATGGGTTCTTAAATAAAATATAATCACGACGGCACTATCGAAAAATACAAGCTAGGCTAGTTTGCTAAAGGGTGCGCTCAAATCCCTGGTCTCGATTTCACTGAAAAACTTTTCCCTGTTGCTAGATTAAGCTCCATAGAACAGTTTTAGCCTACGCAGTAGACAGAATCTCAAAGGTTACCAATTAGATTTGTAATGGCCTATGTAAATGGAAATTTAGATGAAGAAATCGTGGAAATCCCGAAGTTTTCGCGATGAACTAATTCAGATAAAGTGTGTCTTTAAAGAGATCATTATACGGTCTAAAACAGTCAGGACGTCAGTGGTACAAAAGTTGGATGAAATTGAAATCTAAGAAATTTAAATCTCTTAATTCAGATAATTGTGTTTATATTAAAAAGACGCCCACAGTGAAACTATTACAATGTTTATGTAGACGATCTTATCGTTTTTACCGATTCTAAGCAAACGTATGAAACAATTCGCAATAGTTTAGCTTCTGCTTTCAAAATGAAAGACTTGGGGAAGTTACATTATTGCTTAGGCACAGAATAGAATTTCACCAAAATGAGAATTCATTAAAATTTCTCAAAAGAAATACGTTGATGATATTTTAAATCGGTATTAATATGCAAAATGCTAAATCCGTGTCTTCACTTATAGATAACAGCAAAAAATTATCAAAAGAGATGATCCTAAAAACGAAACGAAATCGTGACATGAAAAATGTTCCATTAGAAATCTGATCGGATCATTAATGACCTTTCGGTAGCTACTAGGCCAGATATCCATACGCCGTGAATTTCTTAAGTCAATTTAACAACAATCCGGGAAAAAAACATTGGCATGCTGCGAAAAGAATACTTCGATATCTAAAGGGAACCCAAGATCAAGGACTAATTGTGTAGCTCTATCTTCAACGGAGGCGGAATATATGGCTTTGTCTGAGGCCGCCAAAGAAACCGTCTACCTACATCGTTTTTTAAAGGAGCTGAGTTACAACATAGAACACCCAACAACAATATACTGCGACAATCAAGGAGCTCAGAAAATTACGAAGAACTCTGTGTTTCACTTCCGTACAAAGCACATAGACATTCGCCGTCATTTTGTGCGTGAAGTATATGAACGCGGTGAATTAGATGTGAAGTACATACCTACCAGTGAAATGGAAGCTGATGTGTTAACAAAACCCCTGACTCCCATTAAACATCAAAACTGTTGTACAATTATAGGATTGAAAACTGTTTAATATGTATTTTGTTTTACTTTTCAGGAATAGGAGAATCAACGTCGAAAGGGGGTATGTTGGCAACCGCCGTCGATTCCCCTAGCGCATAATAATCTGCTGCGTAATACTTATACTTAGTTAATATGCAGTTAGCCAAAGTCAATGGTGAGTATTGCATGTAAGAGAGAAGTGCAAAGCGCTGTGTAATATTATGTTTTCTACTCTGCTGTTCAACGTCTTCATAGTTAAAATAAATGTTTGTTATGTAGACGTCATTTTATTCTTCAAAAAACTGTTAAAAAATTTTTTTTTTTACAATTAAAATTAGTTTCTATGCTAAAACAAGCAATTTGCCAATGTGCAAGAAGACAGATTTTTCCAAGCACAAAGTTTAAAATTTACTTTTGGTCAGTGCACTTATTGACTTATTTAACTATTCTACTAAGAGTTTCAAATGTAAACAAATAGCAGCTTTGTTAGGCTTAGTACAAATTAAACAACTTTTAAATTGTTGATAATTCTACATTTATTGCATGCAGATTAACCAAAGGCATAAAAACCTTAACCGAAATATAAAAATAAGAGTGAGTCAAAATGGATATTTTTATTGAAATATGATACATGAAATTTTTCATGATTGCAATACTTCCTTTACTTCATAGAAGGAAGTGAAAAAGGGCTCTTATTTGTTTTCTTCTGTTACATACAAGTATTCATATAAAAAATGCCACAAAAATTATCACTTACTTCTCTCCAATCATCAAGAGTAAACTCAACATCAAATGATAATTCTATGTCATGGTCCGGATACAGAGCTTCACCAGTTTCAGGATCAAATCCCAAGCCACACAGAGCCCCAATATATGATTTTCTTTCCTTATCAGTCCTTGAAGTGGTGAAAATAAAATAAAGTTAGAAGATGATGAAATACTTTTATTGATAGAATTTTCATAAAGTATACAATTTTTAATAAATAAGTACCTATAATCTTGAACAAAGTAAAAATATAAGACATAAGAACATTGCATAGAAGCTGAAATTGACAACTATCTGGTCATCCTGTATGTAATGCCATTTTTTCTACAGTATGTTTTGAAGGAAAAAAATAATTAAGTACATGTTTCCCATCTGAATCAATAACATTTTCCAAAAGCTACAATAAGTTTTTTTCTTCTTTTTTTGACGACATTCCTAAAGAATTCAGTAAGCGTATTGAAGAAAAAGTCTTCAAAGTCTATTTCAAGTGTTCCATGGAAATCACACTTTTTTCCATCAATGAAATGTTGCAAACTTCGAACCATCAATACATGCTTCAGAAAAGGAATAAAACGTTCATATGATTTCTTCGATTAGCATTAGTAAGCTCACGTGGAACCAATCTGCGAAGCTTAGCACAATTCCACATTCCTTCAGATGACAATGGACTGGTTGATGACGGACAATGCTGAATTAACTTCTTCTACCAACTCTTCAAAAGTCCGCCCCCCTACCCTCCAACACAAAAAAAGAGCTCGCATCATACTTTAGTTTGAAAGATACTTGCAGACGCTTCATAACTCACTGACCTCGAAAAGTCTACTGACAATTTAAGAATCATTGATATAACTGAAGTTCATTCAGACATTCAGGTTCTTAAATTCTAATAATAAAAAAAAAGAAGGGAAAAAAATAATAATAATTTCAGTTTCCCCCCACCCCACCCCCGGAAGCAGATTTCACAGTACTTGTATTGTAAAAATATGAAATATTATAACATATGTACTTATAATTGAAAATGATCAAACATTGGTGCATTTTTGATGCAAGATATACTAAGAGAATAATAACAACACATATATATGGGGCTTAAATGTTTGTCGCCGATAGTTCATTGGTTGCTTGCGTAACGGTAAATTGTTTTATTCCCTGCACAGTGCAGCGCGTGACGAATATCATGAGAAAGCTAAGCCGGAAAAATTAAAAAGACAAGAGCATGTGCATTTAACATTTAATACATAAATTTAACATCTATATATAATAGAATTCGGAAACATGCAACCAGCAAAAACCGGCTACAATGAAAAAAAAAAAAAAAAAACTTTATTATATGCGGCTTAATTGTCTGTTTGTCGTCAATAGTTTATTGGTTGCTTGCCTAACTGTACTAGCCAATGAGGTGAATTGCCACGGCACAGAGTTGCCGTTTCAATTGAAATGTAGACAATTTCCTGTAAAAAACTTGCCTTTACTATGACCATCAATGAGTTTAAGGGCCAAACGCTTAAGCGTGTTGGAATTTTTTTACCTGAGCCAGCATTTGGACAAGGTCAACTTTATGTTGCCTGTTGAAGAGTTCGTGAAAGAACAGACGTAAAATTAAATTTTGTAGATGAAACAAAATAAACAACCTAAATATGTTTAGTTACTAGAGGCAAATTTTCTTGTAGGGAATTACATAGTTTTAAGAATTATTTTCTTTCTGTATCCTTGAGTAAACAAAATCCAAGTTTTGCCTTGTGAAACATTGTAATAAGTCCTTTAAAGTTAGTTATAATTAAATTTTTACGCTTTAATTACGTTACATTTTATATATTTACTTAAATACAAACTATTGCCAGTATTTAATAAATATTTGATGGTCCTCTGCAAGCTTAAAAATGATGGAAAGATCTACACAAGAAATGTTGTGTACAAAGATATCTTTAACATGTGAATTAACATTTTATTATTTAAATCACCTTTATTCATTGAGCTATGGTGGGCTCTTAAGAAATGTACTGCCAGTGGTTTCCTTCACTGCACTCTACTTTAAACAATTAAGCAAGTAGAAAGGGGGAAACCCTATGGGGCAGTAAGCAAAGAGGCGTCCTCGCTGCCTGCCCTGGGTAATTCAGTTTGAATTAGCAGCACCCTTGCACAAATCATTTTAATTACAATTTATAATATCTAGAACAGCGGTCATTTTGTATGACCGCCGGGCTTTCTAGTTTAAGATAGGCATACTTTTTTCTAAGAATTTATTTCGTTCAGTGAAGATTTCCTCATTTAGATTTGATAACAATGCTCATAATTTTAACAACACAAAACTGTATTAAATACACAAATAGAGAATAAGAATAGTAGTTAGTGTAATTTAATAAATTCTACATTGTTCTAATAGTAGTGATCCCTTTCAAAAAACATGATAATGTAACTATTTGAAACATAGATTGAAGAATTATGTAAAATGAACAAATCTTGGAAGCTATTCATTTTAAAGTAAAACATTTTAAAATTCCTATATATTCTATAAATTTTGAAATGTCACTATTAACTGTTTCCCTTACAAATTGTTTTGAAAAAATTTGCAAAAAATCATCAAAATTTTTTATTTTATTATTAAATACAAGAAAACAAAAGAAAACAAAATATGTAGGTTTTAAGTTGAATTTTCAATTTTTTACAGGTATAAAAGGATTTAGTTTAAATATTAGTTTACTATCCTGAGTTATCTCAGGCAAATGAAAAAAAGTTAAATATTAGTCTTTGTACGATAGTTTTTGAAACAAAGGACAACACAAAGTGATACCTGACATTCTGTACACTGGTCACTTTTCTTACTGGCTTATCTCTGGAATTACCTTACCTCTCGTCTGAATCCGAATCACTTGAGCTATCGTCTTCAATAAAGCTACATACAGAAGAATCATTTCCACTATTTTCAATGTCCACCTCTTCATAATCACTGCTTTCGCTACCTTGCATCATCGCCATTATTTTATTTTTTTTTTTCATCACAACTATCCTTCTTTATACATTACAAATCCACAAGCCGAAGTATACTATACAATGAGGAAAACACATGACCAGTCCTGCCAAAAGAACTGCGAAACCAACAAAACTTGGCAAACTGCCAATCAAAGCTGAATATTTCCTTTCATTTTCTCCAGGCCGAGTAAAACCGTGATAAAGCAAATCGTACTGACAAATTCTGCTTCTCTCAGGTTTTCTCAGGATAATAATTAACTGCAACATATATGAACTCGAGATAACTCAGGTTATGGTTACAGTTGCTGCCAATATAAGTATATAAAATTAATCTTTATATAAAAAAAATAGAGTAGATCACAAGTATTACATAGCTGTCGATGTTGAAATATGGAAAACTGGGAGGTTCTTGAATGCAATACCAAGAGTTCCCAGGTGGTTTCTTGTACTGTACACCACCATCATTTCAAAATAACTTCAAAATGATTAAAATTCACTTTATAATGCATGATTCAGGTTATTAATGTAAAATATATTAATATTTAATTTGATGAGTTAAACTTCACGTTATTTGGCTAATTTAATTTTGTAACTTTCTTACACTTTTATACTGATATAATTCCCAGTACGAAAAGAAAGAATTTATCAAATTACTTTTAAGCATAATGGAAAAAAAATTTAAATTTATATACTATTGTGTCAATAAACTTAATAATGTACCATATATTCAAACTAAACAAAATTAAATATAAATATTTATTGATTGCTCATAGGTTGAATCTTCACATAAAATTCTACAAATTTCGATAGTAGATCAAGATAATTCGGATCAAATAAAATTTAATAACAAAAATTATGCTGAAAATCACTAGAGGTGAGAGAAAATGGAATTTGAACAATTAAAGTTCATTACATTTCATTTACTGCTGGGATATATTTTCCTTAGTGAAGGCTAAAAATTAAAAACTGGGAGATGTGATAAAATTGGGAGTGCCCTGGTGAAACCGGCACAGTTGGCGGCTATGGTGGTAGTACTTTAAGAAATACTTTGTTCTATCAGTATGACAACATCCTTTATATACATTAGAGATTATACAACATTTCACATGCACAGTGGCTCACAAGAGTGTTCATACACTTACGAGTTTCAGTGAAATATTACTTTATTCATTGATAAAAAATGATATCTTAGAATGAAAATTTTTTAAGTATCTACAAATTTCTTTTAGCAAAACAACATTAATTATTTTATGAACAAATTAAAACTTTTTTCTTGAAAATCAATAATAAAAAAGTAACATAAAAGTCACCCCAGAAAAGTCTTCGCATGCTTTAAAGTAATCTGCTTATATTAGTAAATATTGTAGTACTTCTGTCAGTTAATATTTCGTAGTATACAATGTAGTATTTATAACAGCTTTCAAATGTCTGGGTATAGAGTTCACCAGTTTTTTTTTTCTTTTTTTTCTTTTCTTTGTAATATCTGCATCAAAGTTCCTCCATTCTTCCATCAATACTGTTTTTAGTTCAGTTTTTGTTTTAATGTTGTATATTCACACTCCAACCTCTAATTCTCCCCAAATGTGTTCTGTTGGGTTTAAATCTGGTGACTGAGGTGGTGTTTTCAGAACTTGTGGAATATTACAGGCACTCAAAGGGCGAATGTTGAGGACTGTGTGCTGAGAATTGCCATCCTGATAAAAAGTAAATTTTTTCCAGTATCCAAATTTTGGGCGGATAATTTTAAATTATCTTTTAAAATATTTAAATAAAGAGCATGGTTCATTGTACCATCAATAAATACTAAATTACTTAATCTTGATGCTGACATGCACCCTCATACAAACACCTCCATTGCCATACTTTACTGTACCAAATAAGGTCTTGGGATTAAGCTCTTCGTTTTTTTTTTCCTCCACACAATTGTACGCCCATCAGAATCAAAATTGTTAAATTTGCTTTCATCTGCAAATAAGACATGATTCTAATATGCTTAGAGATCTTTATTTATTATAGATATTATTATTATTATTATTTACTATAGATTTTGAGAAGAAAACGTGAGCTTTCTATTTTTTGTACTTCCAAAAATTTTCTTCGAGCAGAGTGTCCATGTAATCCAGCATATCTGAGTAATCATCACATAGTTTTAAGTGAAACTGAAGTAGAAACATTTTTAGTAAATTCTGTAGAAATATTTAAGACACTCAAACATGGATTTTTCACAGACTTTCTACCTAAAAAATATTAATCCCTTAGGTATGTGTGGGTAACACATGCCTAAGGGAGGATGAATAGCATTAAATAGAAAAACAATCTTAATTAAGATAGACATATAGCAATTTATAATCAAATTTAATAAGAAAAAACTACATAGTTGTCAGAGTTGGCAGCACTAAAATGGCTTGAAAAGAACAGAAAACGACCCAGCATAGAAACGGATACCGGGGTTCACATATTCCGGTGAAGCATAGACTGCCGCAGAAAAACTCATCCTTCTCCGTCAGCCTGTAAAGTTGCCATATAGGTTTAGACTGTCTTTCACCAAATGGTAGTTTTCCGTACAGTTTTGAGTCTACATCGCCTGTTTGGTGATGCCGTTGCAAATCTCTGATCACGCTGAGTCCTCTGTGCTGGACAAAATCTTCTTACTTAATTTTATATCCAATTTTCTTCTTTAAAGCATTTTATCACATACTGCAATGTAGAATGAGATAAATTTACTAATTTAGCAAGATCCCAAATCAAATTTCCATCCTTATGATAAAAATCATCAATTTTCGAATGCTGTTTGTTGTTTCCTTATGACTACGAGTCATCTTTAAACATTAAATAAAATATAACGAAGTAAGCAAGCAAAAAGTAATAAAAAAAGGTGGTAGATGATAATTTTATTTATGAAATTTTATGAAAATGTTTCGGTGTATGATCACTTTTGTGGTCACTTTTATCTATGCCTCCTTACATTTTGAATTTTAGAAAAAGAAAATAAGTCAGTATTAAAAATTAAAAAGTTTAATTTTATTTAAAGTCACGTGGAGATGATATGAAAAAATACTGGGCTTCAAATTCAAATTCAGTTTCCAGTCTATAGAACATTTTCTGCAAATACTTTTCAACTGTATGCAAAGAAAGGAAGTATGACTTCTCAGCGGACATTTTATTCTCTGTACTACTATTATAACTGGTGTTACCCTTTCTTTAAAGCAAGAACTGGCTATTCTAATACTAGTATAGTAAAATAATACTAGGCTTCTTATACTAGGAAAATCATTTATTTTACTAATCCTGTTTAAGTAAAAACAATTACAGCTGATAAACAACTCAATGATACATTAAAAATAATATCAGCAGACAAATAATGAAACAATATGCTAATAAGATAGCTATTATTTCATCACTGTATCAAAAAACATGCACTATATTTACTTACAGCTTGTAATGAATATTATGTGAAAATGAAAAAGATCAAGAAAATTTTCAAAAGGCAAAAATATTTTCATATGTACCTGATTTCTACATATGGTGCAAACATAAGGCAAATTAATGCAGGTAAACCTCTTTTTTTAGGCATCAGCGTTGTGTTTCGTGCTGTTATATTATCAGAATTCTGGCCAATAGTAACACCTGTAGCAACTAGCATGCCATTAAAAGGATCTTCTGGTTCAGAATTAAAAGAAACAGAGTTCACACTGTCTCGTTCAATTTTTACACATCTATAAGAGAGCATAATTATTTATTTCATTTATTTGCTGTGATCTCCAAAGTGATTGCGACAAATAACCATAAAAATTTATTTGTATAATGAAAAACAAGCAATATCACTATTACATCATTTCAGTAAAAATAGGTGGTACAGTGTCTTGTATTTAACAGAAGAGAGGCAAAAAGCATGGAATTAAAACTATATCAATTCAAATAAATCTAAAATTTAAAGAGAAAATAATACTGCACATCTTCTTCCTCCAATAAAACGTCTTAAAAGACAAGGTTCACTTGCTTACTTCTTTCAGTATTTCACTGCATTCTCATTACAAGACAAAAACTAAAAATTTTATGGCATCAAAAAAGAAGTTGACGTAAGCATTTAAAAATCTTCTGTATCTTTTTCGACACTGCAGTAGAAAGTTAAAAACATAAAAGTTATTACAAAGATGCAAAATATTTTAAACACTCATACCATTCACATCAAAATACTTTTCTCAAAACAATTAAATCCTTTCTTTTGGCTAAATCAAAAACAAAATATTCATCTGAATGCATGATGCCAATCAGATCAATAACATAAAATACCAGTTACTTCTCTACCTACTAGCTGAATTTTCAAAAAACAATTCTTACCACCTTGCTCTATCTCAGAGCAATATACATATTAAAAATATATTAAATGATAAATATTTAACAACCTGTTTTAATTTCATATAATTAAATTAAAAAAATATCTAGAGCAAAATTATATCAAAAGATTTTTTTGGAAAAAGTAAAAAAATACGTATTAAATATTTAAAAAAGTCGCATCAATAACTTAAAATTTGTTTATTCAATGAATCACCAGAATCGTCATTCAGATTATTACAATTATTAAAATGTCTCTATCATGATATCTTACCTGCTACGATCTAAGTTTGTCATTCCTCTGTAGGATACTTCTAGCGGATTAAAAGGGCCACGAAGAAAAATCTGAAAAGTATTGAAATCATAGCATGTGGTGGTAAATGCTATTTTAACATAGAAGTAAGAAATAATCATGCTAGGAAAATACTATAATCGCTAATTTACCTTTCAAGAATACATGATAAAATTTCATAAATATATAGTATAATTTTAAAAAAATCTCTTTAGTACATGTACATATACAGAAAAAAACAGCAAATACATTTTAAAATTATAAAATTGTGAATAAAGATTACATGCAAAAGTACAAAACACATGAAATAAAAAAAAAAAAAAAATGAAATACAACAATAGCATATATGCTGTAATATTTACACTCGTGATATCTGCATCTTAATCTTCATGAAGGAATACATATACATGCAAGATAACATAACATGTAAAATAAAAAATATGAAAGACAAGTTCTAACAAAATTAATAACTTAATTGAAAATAGACATTTTAATTCCTAATTTTAATTTAAATACAGCTACCTTCAAAGAATATAAATGCATCATTAGTTTTGTGGTAATCCACAATGCTGTAGCTTCTTGCCCAGTCACTGTTGAGAATTACAGCAAAAGGAACCAAGCCTACATATAAATCCAGCTACTCAATCACTTCTGTTCCCTACTCTCACCACACAAACATTTAATCAACCACTTCGCAGTTTTCAGATATAATAACAGTGTGATTTGCATACATTAAAAGTGCAGGACACTTAATAGCACTCCTAGTGTAGTACCAATCAAGAGGAAAAGTACTATGAAATTTGTTGTCCATAAATCAAACTATGTTTTAATTCTCAAGCTAGTTGTGCTTTTACCAAACTTCAGTTATCTATGCAACATCTTCTAACTATCTCATTTAAGAGCGAGCTACATCTGTCCACAACATCTCAGCCACGTTAGAATAATAATTGGTTCTCTCCTCGTACCACCAAATTATTACACACATATACATATACTGACCCCTGTTATCTTCACATTAGCATTTTTATGAAAGAAAAATTACTGTGTGAAGTTATATGAACAGATGAAAAATGATAGATGGTCTGCAATCTTGTGTGGATGATGTTAATGTGAAGCAAGCCATGTGAGGATATCATCAATTCAAAAAAGTTTTAAAATAATGACCAATTTAGCATAATAAATGGAACTGAATATTATGCAACACTGGTTTAAAAAAAAAGGGAAAGAAAAAAAATAAAAATAAAAATTAGAGTAGCAAAAAAGAGGTGAAAAAACAATAATTCATTGAAGAACAAAGTGAAGAAAAGTGAATATGGTATCCAATGTGCATGCCTGTATGCACTTTTATGATGGCAGCAACAGTAAAAAATGTTTTAGATAACACATTTAAAATTATCAAGAGACTGTTGCTGACGGCACGTGCTTTTTGCCCATTTAGAAGAAAATTCAAAGCTGCAGAAGAATTTCGAATTTATTTTATATAAGCTTTAATTTATAGTACTTAAATTTTTTTCTTGCAAATGTTTTGCCTTTTCAAATTTATCATGGCTTTCCGTGAGAGAATAAAATGGAAACTACTGAATTTCGAAACTTTGATTTTTGACATTTTGGTTGAATTTCTGACACGTTCACACCTGGAAAATCACGTTAAAATATTTGAATAAAAAGTGAAGACTATTACATAAGTGGTTATTATATCAAAACTGGTATCATAAAAATAAAAAAATAAAAATAAAAATTAGAAATTTCTAGTGATTCATTATATTGTACTTTTACATCCTCAAATGAAATTTTCTCATGCTCATATATTATTTTATATAACACTTCTTGTTCACTCTCACACTAGAGGATGTTCTTTCCTTTATTAATTTTTATTATTTTGCATTAAGCCATTCATTCATCTTTTTTGCAATGGATTCTTTTTGTAACACTCACTTTTATATTACATCCTTAAAAAAGAAAAAAAAAAAAGTTCTATACAAACTTTCGGGTATATTCTATTGACTGGAAGTATACATCTATATTATCTGGAAGCACCAATGAGATGTTTCGAATTCACTAGCTCAGGGTATACACATATATTAGTTTCATTTCGATTTCATCTTTGATTTTTGAAATTACTTTACATTATCATACTGAAACTGATTTCAGTGTTCTGATTATATTTGTTATGGATGAAGCAACTGCTGATTCTTGAAACTATTTTTTTTTTCATACTGTTTATATTCTAAAACTGACTTTAGTGTTTTGATTCTATAAAAGATGAGCCATACAAAACTCTTAACGAAAATGAATAAATTAACGTCTAACTTCAGAATCCTAATTAATTCAGAAAATTAGACACTTTTTACCCTAAATCTGATGACACAGATCCTCAGTTACCTGAGAAATTATTGGAGGCTGATGATTTTGAAGCGAATTTAAAACTTCAGGGTGCTATTGGTAAATATTTTGCTGAATCAATTATGTCTGTTGTCCCATGTCATCAATTGCTTATAAAACATAGCCATATTAACCCTCTGAGTGGCTTGGGGTTTTTGGATCTGTCGTGAAGACCTGTATTTAAAGAGCCTTTATTAGCTAAATTTGTATATTTACTTATTTTAGACTCTATTTTCATAAACTTACATTTATTAAGCTGACATTTATATTATTAAAGAAAGTAAGAAAGCAATATATTATAAATTATAAGCTAATATATACCAAATGATAAAAAATCTCATGACTAGATAAAGCTGGCCATGGCGCTCAGAGAGTAGGGCTACTTTGCTTAGATTGAATCATTAGTGGTAAATCTAATGATTGATCATCATATAGAGGCTTCTATATATTTCATGCATTCACAAAAATGAAGCATCTTTTAACATATAAAAATTTTATTACATAAAGGAATTATTAACTGATGAGCAGCATCAAATCAAACATACCTCAGATTTTGTCTCAAATTTAGAAGCTTAGGAAAAAGTATTAACTTTCTGTGACAAGATGAAACAAACTGTTTCCTCATTAAAAAGAACGTTCAGGGAGCAAGTTAACATGAAATACTCAAATAAACATTAATTAAAAAACATCAGAGATGCATCCAATGAAGTCATTCGAGGAATTAAGTCTCTCAATGAGAAAATAATTTTTAGAGATGTATGGTTAATTTACATTTTATTTTAAAAAGTTGATTCAGATGCCTGTAAAATATGAACTCAGCAATTGATGAATGATGCTTTTCTCACTTTTGAAAAATTCATAGCATTTCTTAACAACAGACGTGATATTAGAAATATACAACTGTAATGAATCTAATAATAACAATATGATATGCAGAAAAAATCCTAAATTTGTTTATAATAATGAATTAAATTGTATTAAGAGAAGGGAAATCATTTGCCTCTCAAATGCATCAAATTTAAAGAACTGGGTATTAAAGAAAGGTAACAATTCATTCACAGCACTAAATTATATACAAACTGCACATCAGGGAAAAAATATTCGGATTCTGAATGTAATTTTACATTTACATGTCATTCCAGTAAACAGAAACACCATTCAAGCATTCACAAGAATAAAAGATTAATATGCTATGCTCTTTGAAGCAAATCAGAATGCTTGCACATATCTGTACTCCTATTGATAATAATCTGAACAGAATATAAAAACAAATGTGAATGTTTCAATTAATTCTGTGAAGCCGGCTTTCACATCTCTAACCAAAACTCTTATTTGTGAAATATTCAACCTATTAGATTACACAAATACGAGTACTGCTTGACTCAGGGTCACAAAGTGCAATCATATTTGAAGCTTGTGTGAATTTGGTAGATTTCCTATTTCAGGTTTAGCAAATTCTCAAGCTGAGATCACAAAAAGCTACAAAGAATTTTCAGTAATTTTATAATATAATACAAAGGCACAGTTTACACTGACAGCATTCCATTTCGACAAATGAATCACTCCATTTTTAGCTGAAAATTAAATGCTCAAGAACTTCTGCATAATCAAAACATTCAGTTAGCTGATCCCTTCCTTGATATCGCAAATGATACTGATATACTTATGCGATCAGTATCATGGGAACTGACACAGTTGCCAAGTGAGTGATATCATACATCAGACTTCAGAGGAACTTGGAAAGGTGACGACTGCTCAGCAAAATTTAATCTAAAAAGAATATTAAAATAGACTCTTTAAACCTTTGAAGAAATACTAACACTACTCTCCCAAACAGAAGTTATCCTAAATTTATGTCTGCTTACTTACATGAAAGATTTTGATATTGATTCTATAAATGTTTTAACCCCATCTCATTTTATTATAAAGGATACTTTATTATAAATGATAATTTTCCAGATATGACTCTTGATGTTCATACAATAAAGTCTAGATGGGAATTTGCACAAAATATCAGATGCAGATTCAGGAACTGTTGGTAGCCACAGTAACCAAATTCCTTATAGCAATGATCAAAGTGGCAGTATCTCGAATAACACATACAGGTAAATGACATTACGTTAACTGTAGAAGATGACATCCTCCCTTTAACCTGGCTAATTGGGCAAGCTATTGAGATCCAACCTGGGGAGGACAATTAGTTTGCTATCATAAAGTATCATAAAGATTCAGAGAGAAACAGTCAACAAACCTACAACAAAATTTTCACTTTTACTTCTGTACCAGGTCTGGCCTGATAGGATAGAAGTATGTTCACTCTCCTGCTACATACTTTTTCAATGCCCTGTGTTGATTAACCGTTCATTCATATGTTAATTTGTTTTCACAGCATATTAATATATATATTATATTATTATATATTATTCACAGCATATTATATATGATTCTGTTTGAACTTTTACATGTAAATGGAGTTTTATTAGAACACAAGATTTTCATACAATTTTTCTGCAAAAAATTGTATGAAAATCATAAGGTATATTTTACGAATTGGGAATGTACACCTACATTACTTTAAATAAAATGTTATCCTAATTATTAGTGCAGACAGAGCAAAACTTCTTACCTTGCGATTAGTTGGCTTTATGCTACTGAAGTCTTTTGTATCTTCCAAAGTTAACTGAAGAATATTCGATGAACTTTCAGATAGCACAGAATTAAAACTGTATGCACAGCACTGTACTCTCAGTTCATGATTTTGCTAGAATTAATTCCAAAAATTAATAAAAAAAAAATAAAAATGAGTATGTTTATCATTTAAGATTATTAATAAGATAGACATTACTACAGAATTACTCCTCTACATATATTAATTGATAACATATTGCACCATACATTTTTAATAGCTATTTTATTTGAAATTCTAAGCACAACATATGACAAATTATGATAAAATAATGTTTATTTTTAATTTTTGTTGTCTTTTTTTTTTTTTTTTTTTTTTTTTTCAAATACACCAGTTTAAAAAGAATGCATCATTTACTTATTAAAAAAAGAAATAAAAAATAAAAATCACTTAAGATTCCAACCTTTGATACATAACTTTCTTCAGCACGCTCAGCAAATCCATTTTCAATTAATTTCTCATTTATGCTTTCTTGAGTTCCATCTGGATATATTCTGCGTAGATCCAACCTAACTGTTTCTTGAACAACAGAATAAACCTAGAAATAGATTTCTCAAATGTAAAACAAACAAAAATACTGTAAAATAATTTAAGAAACTTTTTGTTTTCACATTTTCTTGGTTCCCTTATATAATTTAAATATATATAATTAGTTCTATGAACATGCATTTAATCCTCCAAGAGGCCAATGGTTTGGTATGGTTTTCCAAAAGGCCCAATGCCATGAGTAAGTGGTATTTTTTTATTATAATTCCAGTATGACTCTCTCAATCTGCATCTTTGTTCCTTTTCTTCCAATATATATACGCTTTTAATTGTTTGCACACATTTCAAGATACACGTCAGTACATTTTAAGAATATTTTTGAATGTGTTTACTTATGTGGTTTGGTTATTTATTTTCGAATGTGGTTTAGTTTCTTAACACCTTATCTACAGCATCTATTTCAGAAAAACACACCAAAAATGGGAAATTTTTTCAACTGTTTAATTTTGTTCTGTATATCAATATAAAGTTACAAAATGGTTATTTAGTAAAAAAATAAAATTCTCATCATCTTGAGACAGTGTCAGGGGAACAGAATAGTCTACATTAATTCAAGACACTAATCTCCTCTTCACTAACACTAATCTCTTCCACAAATACATGTAGATCCATAATGTCCGACATAGCACTGTGTTTTAAAAGCAAGAGAATCTCTGTCAATCAATTAATAATCTATGAACATGACTACAGGCTATTATTTATAACCAACAGCAATGTAAAATAATATCTTTCTAGGCAAGAGACAAAGTGATATGGTATACTTCTATGTAAAATATTTTTGGAAATGTCACCAATCTATTTTTCAAGTCAGTAAATACTTTACCCTTTTATTCATTAAATGAAATATTTAGCAAAACAGAATTTTAAAAACAATTTACTCATTTGTAGAATTTGTACACCTTGAAAATGGCTAGAGAAATTAGAAATGATTTTTGGCTTGAATATTAAAAGCTAAGTTATGATCAATTACAAAAAAAAATTGACATTCTCTTCCATAATTTTTCACAAACAAGAATTGATACATTGCAATAAAATAGAAAAACAGCTATACAAAATAAGTTCAGGAAAAACATTAGCTGAGTTATATAATAAATACGGAATACATAATTACTACTATATACTATACCAATGCTGTAAGCACTTGACCATTCACAATATTCTTAAACCACCTGTTCGCTTTATCAGACCAAGTCCCAGAAGATCCCTTGATGGAAACAGGCCTTATCTCAGACAAGTAACATTCAAAGGCCTAGGAGAGGAATAATGTAATTTACAATAAAACATAAAAATAAATAAATAAATTTTATATTAGTATGGTAAAAGCAAAAGCATTTGCTCTATAAATAGCTTGTATTTCCTTCCCTCTCCCCAACAGGACAAGTTAGCTACTTGTTCATACTACATGCCATTATTCCAATGATTTTTGCCAACAGGATCTACAATCCATACAACCTAGCAAAATTGTTCATTGCTGTGGCATATGACCTTTGATTTATTTTTGAAATTAAAAGAGAATGTTACTAACTAAATGTGCAATAAAATGAAAACTTAATACTAAATTTTTTACACATTTTTCTTAACAGTGACAAAGTTTTATTTACACTTACACACTAGCACAAATCACAAAATATGTTTAATTTGTTCTAAATGGTGGCTGTCTCATTAACAACAGCTTTTCAGAGTTAAATTTCAGATAATTTTCTGTAAATGAAAAAATGTTATTTTATTGCGGTACATTTATGAAATACACAAAAAAGTAACTATGCATTGGGTTGGTGCAGTGGCAATGGCTGACGTCAAATACGTTGGAAATGATTATTGAAAGCATGGTGGAAGTAAATCGCTGACACCATATTTGATATCACATGCTTGACAAGCGACTGATAAGCTTCATTTTTCATTAGCTATCTGTTACACTGTTGTTGTTACTCATAGCAAATTTTCGCCTTGTGCCCTTTCACACACAACATAATTCATTGGAAGCTGCAATGGATTTTTGTTATTTTAATTTCAATATAACTGAAAGAGTATTTCAAAGGAAAAAGCATTTAGAAACATTAGCATCATCTAAATGACTTTTCAGCTTACAATTCTAGCTTATAAGCCACTGCTTGGTTTATTACAAGTTATTTATTTTACCTTAAATAGCTTTGTTTTTTCGCTGTTCCTTGACTTTGTGTCTCTCTGGTCTTGTTTCCTACAATTTGGCTATCGTCTTTCCTTATATGTGTTGTCTATCAGTTAAATAGATTATCAAGAAATACCTAAGGGCTATCTATCTAATGGAATGGATGCTTACATAAAGGACTTTCTGAAGGAAACTGCACGTAACCCTCCTATAACACGTTAGATAGGTTCTTAGAAAATGCCTTGAAACTGTATTGTATGAGAATCAAAACCAGTACAAAATAAGCGGGGACTATGTTTCAAAAACTTGTAAAAACATTTTTTTTTTTTTAAATTCTACATAAACCACTTAATTGATATTAAAAATATAAATGTATGTAAGAAACAAAATGAAATAAATAATAATTATTATTTTAATGCAACTTTCATTTAATAAATTTTTTTTTGTTGTCACTGTTCCAGTCAAAAGTCTTTAATCCTGACGTCCATAAAGTCCTCAAAGCTACAAACTTTCTGTGCATGCATAAACGCATAATACCTTTATGCTTGCACATATGCATTTACGCAAGCGCATAATACATTTACGCGAGCACATTTAATGTATAACGGACGGCATAAGCTAAGCTAAAATTATCTAAATTATCTATTTCAGTTAATGTTGCAAATTGCGTTGTTCCTTAATCTTGTAATTGGATCCTGCTTATTATTTTTTTTGCAGATTGTCAGAGCAATTTTATAAAAGAAAGCTTGAACTTTTGATTATGTCAAAAAGAATTTCCGATTCTGGAGCTGCCAAAGGATCTACAAAGCAAAAGCATGTTTCGATGTCCATCAAACAAAAAGTGGAATTGCTGCAAAAAATGGATAAAGGCATATCATTTTGTTTCTCTAACCATTCCAAAATCTGTTTATCAATTTCATGCTGCTTTGCTGGGGGGGGACGTCGTGGCGCGCAATGAACTGGAAGTTGATCTGTCGGCACTATCCTTATCTTCACGGCAGATGTTTTTATTTTATTTGGCTTATAATTCCTTACTAAATGTAGTATTTCATCTCGATGTACTCTGTCTTTGATATGATTTAAATCAAATTCTTCGTCATTATAAGTATCACAAATACACATCAAAATAGTTTTCTGGTTGCAATTTTCTAATTTCAACTATGCATAATGTATGCTTTATGCATGCGCGCATTGAAATAAATGTTTAATAAAGTAAACAAATAAATATTAAGCTTTTTTCTTTGTAAATTTGGATACCCTTTAGATCATAATTGCTCTTACTTTCAGAACTTTTTTTTTTCATTTAAAGTTCTTGCATTTTCCTTTCTTTTTAAAAAAATCTGTAATACTTTGCTTTCTGGTTTTTACCAGGTCATAGTCAACTTCTCGGTATGCAGCTAGTAAGTTTTGTAGCTCCTTTTTGGATTTTTGGCTTCTTTCAGTGGAAGAGTCTGTCTGCATTCCAGAAAAATGACTTGAGATTTTCAGCTATGCTTAGGCTGTCTTTAAAATTTTTTAATGTTAACTTAGTAACTGCACTTTCTTCATCAGTGGTAATGTCCTCAGAATCAATTTGATTTACAGCTTCAGATGCCACTTCCATGAAATCTGCTTTGTTAACTTCTTCTTCCACTAATAAATCTTGAACATCCTCAGTAACCATATACACAAAAACTTCTTCCAATTGATTTAGTAAGCTCTAATATGTCAACAAATTCATTTCCTGACAACAACTTTCTCATTTGCTTCCCTCTTTTTAAGCTTTGTCATTGAGATTTATATTTTCCTTTTAGATTACAGCCATTACTTTGTTAGCATTTCTCATTGTAATATTTAATACAAAATAAAATGCACAGCTAATTTTTTACAGTAAAACGTGTGTGGGGGGAGAGAAGTTTCTCTTGTCAAAACCAACTCATATAAACAGTTTATAGAACATTCCAGTAGCGTATATCAGTGGTCTCAAACTCAAGTTGCAATTAGAGTTACATGCATTACCTTAAAACAGTTGACAGGTTAGAAATCTTTTTTTAACAAAATAAAAAAAAAAGCTAATAAATTTTGAATTTTGCCTATCAAATATTTGTTAAAATACACACAAACAACAATAATAATATCACAAAGGTAAAAAATTAAATTTATTTTCTATCTAAAATCTAAAATTTGGTACCTGCAAGACATTTTTGCTGATTACACTTTGTAATTCAAATACACTGACAACTGTTAAATTCTTAAGACTGTTTCTTTCGAATAATTGTAACATGTTTAATCATCAAATAACTTGGTTTAATTTAAACTAAAAATTAGCAAATTATGGAAATTTTCTACATTTTGAGAGAAAATTTATCACGGGACAAAACTTGAGACTAAATAATAGCAACCTTCTCTTATTTAATAATTTTTTTTTTTGGATGCATAGATAAAAAGACTCGTTTATATGTAAATAACTATAAACATCTTTATTTCTTACTACAGATTGACTCTTGATGGCATTTTGAATCTGATAAAAATAGACAGAAATTTCTGGAAATTATTTTCATCATGGATTGTATATGCTCATCAGTTAATTAATTTCTTTTCTTATTAATTTTCATCTAAGTAAAAAGGCTGTTCACATATTAATGTATTCCAAAACAAAACAAAACAAAACAAAAAAACAAACAAAAAAAAAAAAAAAACGTAACTGTGTTTGTTTATTTTTGACAACTACGAAAATTAATAAAATCTGCATCCTCAAGTGACTGAATAAATTTTACATTAAATAATTCAGGTGTATATTAAAATCTGCAGGTGAAATTCAGGTGAAAAGTTAATAAAATCTGCATTCTCAAATGACTGAATAAATTTTATATTAAATTATTCAGGTTATATATTAATCAGATCTGTTTACATATTTTCTGCTGCATTTATTCATGCTGGTTTTTAATGGAAGTGAAAATACTGTACATACGGATTCACTAAAATTTTGAAATCTTGAACAGTAATGATTGAAGGTATTTGTGTCCACATAAAATGCTTAGGCCTCATATGCCCATCAGCTGAGAACTTCTGATGACATGATATAAGCCAACTATATGTAAATATAATCGTTATATTTAATAATCTTAATTATAATCTTCTATTAGTTGGTTATTTAATTAGTAAATAGTTTTTAATGCAAATAATTGAGGTTTAAGATAAAACAAGGGGAAAAATAACAATCAGAAAAATAACGCAAATCATTAACCCAAAATTTTCCTACAAGGGTTGCAATATCAAAAGTCATAAAAATAATAATATAATAATAATAAAGATTTTACATTAATGGCTAGAAAGTTACTTACAAAAGCTGGGTAGTAACACATCGGGAGTATTTCATCTATTTCTGTTAACTGTTCAATTGCACATTTCACATTCCCACCTTAAAAAAAACTAAAGCCAAAAGAAAAACAATATAGCATATATACAGAGGTGAGAACTTTATTAAGCACAACAACAACATATATATGCATATAATTATAAGAGGAAGGAACAATTCTTAATTTAATAATTGCTTAAATGTTCAGCTTATTCAGCTTTTATCATATAAATATATTATTTACTTTAAAGACTTATCTAGCCAGCATATAAATGAAATTTCAAAAGATTTCAGTAAGCGTTACTTACTAGTACCCCGACACTTTTTGACGGACACTTGAATTCTTCCTTCCTTTATCTTACCTGAACCGTCTTCCCTCTTTTTTGATTTGATCCGTATATTTTGCTGATACATTTCCATCGATCTGGTGCCGGCACCCATTTCTGGCCAGGTTTGTAGTCAGGCTATACTATAAAAGATGTAAAATATTTTTGCTATTCTTCTTATTTAAAATGAATCATAAATGCGAGGTAATATATTAAAAAAAAGAATCAAATAAAAAAACTCAGCCCAGAAACTGTCGGGCAAAGAACTTCTCTTTCCGATGATTAAAAACTCTTTTTTCCCCCTTTTTTTTCCTCAATAAGCCCAATTTTTATCTGACACCATTTTTTTTTTTATTTTTTTTTTTAACATGCAGACACATACAATTGTTTAAAAATATAAGCGATATGTAAAATGTCATAAAAATCTTATAGTCAATTATGAATAAAAAAAGTTTTTTTTTCATATATTAGAAGAAATTGACTTTAAGTATTTAGATTAAAAACAACTCGTCTTTCTTGCAAGTTGGTGCATTTCACATAATTTAGGGATTTTTTTGTGGATCCTTTCTACACACTTTTATTACACATAATCGCACACACACATATGCATTTATTACTTCCTTTTCCATATTATCATAAAATCAATGCATGTACAAATTAAAACAGAACTTTAACGGCATCATGCAACAGAATTTAAGAACTGCAAATATTACACAGGGAAACCGAAAAACCTAGCTCCAGCTCTGCTAAGGTAGCAAACTTAAATGCATTTCCTTAAGAGAGGCCTAGATATTGAGGGTAGGTAAGGAAATTTACTATTGTGAATGATCATGCTGACACTTTGGGATGCAAATTTTTTGCAATCAACTCGATGTATATTTTCATGGTTACATCGAGATTTTTTTTTATTATTTTTGGCTTATATACAAGGAGGTTTAAATTTAAACACCCCCTACTCTGAGCTCTCTATACTTCGAACTACTGAGTAAGGCTTTAAAATTGTTAAACATACTATTCAAGACATGGAGAAACTGATTACATAAAAAAAAAAAAAATTATTAGTTCCAGAAACACCGATAGTTGGCACTGTACAACAGACCATGTGCTGAAAAGACATAAAATACACTTTATAACCCATTTTATTTGAACATATCAAACATTCATATCACTAAGACCTTATTGATGCAAGGGAAGCTGCTTAATATGGTTTCCTTAATCAAGATGTAAAATCTGCAGTCTGTGGACAGCTTGTTCAACTGTGGATCGTAATTGGTCGATTTGAGATGCTTCTCACATGCACAGTGATACTATCTTTCAAATCTGCCAAAGTTACAAGACGATCTTCGATAAACAAAGTTTTTTAAGTAACCCCACAGCAAAAATCACATTGATTAAGATTTGGAGAACGAGATGGTCAGAGAGCAAAATTGCAGTTACAATGACAGTTTAAGTTTCTTAACTTTTTTTTTCACATCAGCAATAGAAATTAAAAAGGAATAATTCCATACCTCATGTCTGGTTGGTTTTTTCTTCCAATTATTTGTGCCTTTTCAGCATATTTTCCACTGCACAGCGTTGCCTATCAGTGTTTCTGGAACTAATTTTTTTTTATGTAATCCGTTTAACCGTCTTAAATAGTATGTTCAACAATTTTGGAGTCTTTACACTCAGTAGTTCTATTTACAGAGAGCTCAGAGTAGAGGTGTTTTAATTTTAAACACCTTGTACAAGTCCAAAATGAATTAAAAAATTTTTAATCATTTAAATATTATGTAATTAATAATTGTAAACCTATTTTCTTTTAAAATTAAATACTAATATATAACAATAACCTTTTTCAGTACAGGTGATCCATCTTAGTACGAGAATTTTCTAACAATTCTCTGATCATCTCTGCTCGAGCCAAGTCAGGGCAAATATCATCATTCTCCGTTTCACCACTAACATCCCTGATATTCACCTCACAAATATCATTGTCTTCAATTCTGTCCACAGCATGTCTGAGCAAAAAATAGGTGTATTTTAGTTTAAAATAATAGTATAAGCAGTCTTTTTTATATATGGTCTTTTACTATGTAGCAGAATGACTCATATTTTGTAAACGTGAAAATCTCACTTAGGAATTTCACTTGCAGTTGCTTGAGACTGATTAGTTACCATAACTGTTTGCAATCCACCTCACTTCTGTTAAAGCACCAAATGCTCCAAAAACGGCAAAATTGAAATACAGAAACTGTTTGTGCCAATTGTGTGATTTCCTTCCTCAATACTCTCATCCCCATTTCTCAATAGAAGCTGAATGTGAACTGATACTTACCTTCAACTTTTGTCATAGTTTAAAGTTAAAAAGATATATTATTTGAATTTCTCTCAATTTATAATTGCCAGAAGTAGATTAATAAAAAAGAGAAGAATTGGGGGGGGGGGACTTGACCTGACCACTGGCTGGATGAGGATTTCACTGAGTATTTTCTGGTCATCGGGTCCAAAATATCAACTCCACATTTGGTCGAATTGTAAAAATTCACAACTTCCTGTGTATTTTTTTCATCAGATGCGATTTCCAATGCTGGGTGCATGGCGCTCAGGAGCAGGACATTCCCCCTCCTTTTGTTTGATAAGACATAAATAAGCGTTATATTGTCATGCTTAGCAATCTTGCTAAAACAGAGCTCATCCCTCATATTTCTGAAAGAATAAGGTATTTCTCTTCTTGAACGATTTATTGTATCAACACAGCTTATCCCTGAATTTCGCATTTCTTTTACTAATTTAGGCGGTTCCATCAAGCCAAAAGTTGCATGTTACCTACTGTTTCTTCAGCTGGTCTTGTTTCGTCTTTTCCCAAATAGGGAAATTTGTTCAGTAAATATTTTAACTGCACATCAGTAGCAAGCCAGAATTTAATGCCAAATTTGCCAGGCTTTTTAGGCACATACTGAATGACTCAACATCGGGTCTTCATGGGAAATAATTGTAAATCAATTGTTATATTTTCGCCCCATTTATAACATTTCAAGCAGTTTTCTATAAAAGCATTCCAGATATCCGAAACAAGAGCAAATGGATTAGTTTACAATCTCTGATAACTTGAGCTAAATATTTAACTTCCTCTACTGTTTTGTGAACAGGTTCTCCAGCAGACGAATCAGATTCACTTGCTTCAGCAGGAACAATCCAGTCCTCGCCGGATAAACTGGATGCAGATTCAGTATGAAATTCATCAGGTTCAGTTTCTGAAGCAAAATTATCATCTTAAAGATTCAATTTCAGCATCCTTTTCTTCGTTAGACATTTTCTACCAATGCTTCTATGTGACATAATACACAGATCAGAACAACAATACTATCCAAATGAAGTAAAGTACATTTATGCCAAATGAAGAATGAAGAACTACTGAAAAATAAATTTTTTAACATAAGTGAAATATGCAGACACGTGGCACGCAAAAATTCCAAATAGCTCTATTTATTCCCTCCTCTGAACTGAAATGATTGATAGCTGTAATTCTAGGTATAAACAATAATATTGTCAAAAATAATTACTTAAAATGAGCCAAAAAAAATACCATGTAATATTTGTAAGTTTTTAGAAAAAGTCAAAAAATATCAAAGTTATAAATAAAGAATTAAAAAAGTTATGTCCAATTAAAACGGAGATACGGTCATAATGACCGTTCCCGTAACTCTAGTAATAAATAATAAATCCTGATTAAATAATTTGTAAAGTATGATGTGTGTATAAAAAAATCACAAAGACAATCTACAATCCAAAACACTTGCCATCAGGACAATCCATCCATTGTTCCAAGCTGTGCAGATTATCATAGAAATTTACTGTGTATATCGAATTACATTAAAAAATAATAAATAAAAGTTATTTAATACTTACCCTGAGATTTTGGCCTTGTCTTTTATTAATAGTTATATCTAAAAATTTCAAATAATTGGTGTTGTCTAAGGTTGGGGACTGTGCCCAAAAATGTCCACAGTTAATGAACTACAAGGGAAGGAAAAAGCATATCTAAGAATGTATATAAAAAAACATCAGTATATAAAAAACTCATCAGTCATTCAACAATGACTCACGACAGTCACACAATACTCATGAAAGCAATACTTTCTTTGAAAATATACCCACTTGAAAAATATTTACACACACTGAATCTGAATTCCAAATAATTGTAGAATAAAGATGCAAAGTATACTGATTTACTTATGATAAAAAGTTGAGAAATTCTCTATTTCTCCATTCAACAACAAGATTTAACAAATACTTTTCCTTTGATACAAGATGATACTACTTTTGATAATAAGCAATAACTTCTAATTCAGAAGAAGTCAAACAACAAAAATCAGCGTTATATTTTCAAAATTTGAAATATAACGCTATTTTCAAAATTTGAAAATATAACGCTGATTTTTGTTGTTTGACTTTTGAATTAGTATTTATTCGGCGTGCTATTGTGTCTTAATTAAACAATAACTTGTTAAAGCATATATAGACTGATATGCTACAGATGCTTTCAATATGACTGTACACATCAGAAAGGAGAGAAGAAGGAGAAAATTAACATGCAACACATTCATTCAACCTCAAAATGAAACACGGGATAGGAGAATAAGATCATAAATACTGCACACTTAGAATCAAATCATTAAGCTATCTAAATTACTAAAAGTGCACTTTCAAACATGATATGTTATTCCAATAAGAACAGAATCAAAATAATTAAAATAAAGATGGATGGATCCTATACAAGAGATAAATAAATGCTATAACATAATAAATGAATTCAATTTATGAATAATTTCCAAAAGGTCCAAATACTACTATCTTGTTTACGAGAGAAACAACATGGCATTCCTTCTTCAGTAGTGAATTATTTTGTAAAAGCTCATCAATTCAATCACCATAAATTTTAAATGTAACAGAATTTATAGAATAAAAAATATTTTTTTAGGAAGGGAAATGAGTTAATACTATTGGATGATGATGACACATTAAAATTTTTAATTACTACTGAAGAATATAAAAGAATATTCAAAGAAATCAATTCATTTCAAAAGAGGGGGGGAAGAGTTTTCTTTCTTTTTTTAATTTGATTAACACTGATGAAAACTTATTAAGAAAAAACTACGAAAATTTCACAACTCACATCTAGGATCTTAAAGAATTGAATTATGTTACTCACGAATACAGATGAAAAGACAGTATAACAGTTATACAGCATAGCTGCCAATCATAAAACATGAAAAACTAGGAGTTTTTTGCACTGAATGGCAACATCCATTTGAAAGAATACCAAACTGACTTAACTTCATTTTATAATGCATTATTCAGGTTACTGAAATATTTATAATACAATTCTGATGTAAAATATATTAAGATTTAATTAAATATTCTAAATTTTATGTTCTCTGACTCATTTCAATTTGTAATTTTCATGTGCATTTATACAGAGAAAATCCTGAGGAGAGAGGGAAAGCTTTTATTATTAAAGTACTTTAAAAAAATGAATAATTAGTGTATATACCATTATGTGGATAAACTCAGTAATGTACCATACCAATTTTAAAAGAAATTAAATATAAATATTAACTAATTACACATTGTTTGAATCTTCATAAAAAGTTCCACAAATGCCTACAGTAGATAAGACAGTTCAGATCAAATAACATTTCATACTTTTTGTATACTAAAATCTGTTAGGGGTAGAAATGGAGTTTGCTATTTTAAGTTTGATTAATTTCACGTACTGCTGAGAAACATTCTCCTTAGACGATAGGAAGATTCAGTGACCAGGTGAAGTGGTGAAAACTGGATGAGTTGATAGCTATAATGTAGCAATGTTTTTCAAAATCAAGACTATTAGACAAAATTTACATCATCTAAGCTATCCATCCCTAACGTTACATAACTTCAGAGAGCTAAATTGGTTATGGAAGATAATTTTATATGTATATTTTACAATTTATGAAATAATCAGACACATGCCAAGCAACGAAAAACACCCTGCTGCCTTTCAATGTGATTTCATCCTCCCTAAAAAACTACAAAATTATATTAAAATTGATTTTGTAGTCAAAATAAAAACACATCTACTCTGAGCTCTATATACATCAAATTACTGAGTGTAAAGGATCCAAAATTGTTGAACATACTAGTCAAGACACAGGGAAACGGATTACACGAAAAAATATTAGTTCCAGAAACACCGATAGATGGCACTGTACAACAAAAAAATATGCTGAAAAGAGACAAGATACACATTTGTAATACATTTTATTCAAACATACCAAACATTCATATCACAAGGTTCTTATCTATACAGGGAAGCTGTTCAATCTGGTTCCATTCTTCAAGATATAAAATTGCAATCTGTGAACTGCTTGTTTAACTGTGGATCATAATTTATCAATTGAGATGCTTCTTACATGCAGAGTGATATTGTCTTTCAAATATGACAAGGTTACCAGATGTCCTCAAGAAACAATTATTTTTAAGTATGCTTACAGACGAAAACCACAGGGATTAAGATCTGGAGTATGAGATGGCCAGGCTGTCAGAAACGCACGACTAATTACTCTATCATTAGTAAAATGTTGCCAAAGGAACTGCCGTACACAGAGTCCAATGTGTGCAGGTGCTCCAGGTAATTGAATCAAGACATTGTCACTGTTGTATTTGGGGTACAACAAAATTTTCAAGCATGTTCTGGTTACTTCTGGCCATCATGCTGCATGTCACAAAGACACTGTGCATAGTCTCTTTGAAAAAGAAAGGTCCAAGAATGAATGTGACTAAAGTCCACATCAGACTGCAAACTTTCGATGAGTGAAGTGGAATCTCTTGGAAGATCTGAGGGTTTTCCGTGTCTCAAATGCGACAGTTTTGTGTGTTGACTGTCCCACTTAAATGGAAACGAGCTCCATAACTCCATAGAACCTGCCATGGCCATGATGTATCAACTTCAACTCTAGCCAGAAATGCCATTGCAAAGGTCAGTCACTGCTCCCTGTTGATGGGCAGCAATTGCTGATTGTGACGAATTTTGTACAGATAAAAATGCACCATTTTTTCTCAATATATTCCGCACTGTACTGTAGGGAATACTCAAGTGCCATGACACTGCACGTATACTACTACAACCTACAACGTTATACATTGATTGTTCAACAATAATGGTGGCTACATCTTCAGCTACACCTGAACGAGTCAATTAGTGTCCTCAACCTGGCTGAACTCTAAGATCTCAAGTTTTCTCAAATTTAGCAATCATTCTCCTGAGAGCTTTTGGAAGTAATGATCCTTTGTCAAGTGAATGAAACTCTCAAAGTGCAGCTGCATCATTTTCTTTGCTTTCATAAAATAACTTCACAAGCAAAGCATGTTCTGGAAGCATGACAGCCACCCAATGATAAGAATGACATTTTTCCAGTTTTATCCCCATTTATGCCCAGAAGTAGCTGCAAACCAGAAGTTTGTGCAAACAATGTGTTACATTGTGAAATTCCAGTTGCAATGACAGTTTAGTTCCTTCACTTTTTTATCCGGGGTAGGGGGGATATCAGCAATATAAATTTTAAAAAAAATTCCATACTGCATGTATTTGGTTTTTTTTCCCGTTTTTGTGTGCGATTATTTGTGTCTTTTCAGCATATTTTCTGTTGTACAGCACCATCTAATGGTGTTTCTGGAACTAATTGTTTTCACATAATCTGTTTCTCTATGTCTTGAATAGTATGTTCAACAATTTTGGATCCTTTACTCACAGTAGTTTGCTGTTTAGAGAGCTCAGAGTAAGGACATTTTAATTCTGATCACCTTGTAGGTATCAATACATTTGAAAACTTACTGTAATAATGTACAATTTCAAGTACACTATTTCTGTAAAACATCTAATTTGTGTAAGATATTTCAGAAAAATGAAACAGCTTTTATTTTGCCTTCTTATCTGTACTTTTTTTAGGCGGGCAGCATTGATACATCTCAAAGAAAAAAAAAAAAAAAAAGGTTAAATTAAATGGAAATTCCCATATAGAACACACATATGTTTGCTAACTACTACTACACACAATAAGGCTGCATAGTGATTTCAAACACGAAGTGTAGAAACATAGTAGCTTGTCTTATCACTCGAGTTGCCATGATTTGCAGGTGGAGTAAAGCCTTTGACAACAGCAATATTTGTACAGAATTTAAATTTATACAACAAATACAGTTAAAATAATCTTAAGTTCAATACAGATTTTCAGTATGCTGTAATTTACTCAACATAAAATCAAATATAATGAAACTTCCTAAAATTAAAGATCCATACTTGAACACGTGAACTATTAAAATTAATTTCAGATTACTTTTAGAGATTTCTGGTTAAAAGCATTAGAATATTTTGGGTTATCTGACAATGATATATGAACAGAATAAATGTATACTATATACTTACATGAGAAATGAAAATCTGAGCAGTTTTATTAGTTGGTGGTGGAAGAGGAATTCTCTTTATTTTTGAAAAAGGATTTAGCTTCACAGCATATCTACAAAAAAAGTTTTAATTAATATAGGTAAAGAAGTTACAAATTAAATAAAAATCCTGTGATGAAGATTGCTTGATTCTAAATCACTATTACTTTTACTACATCAAGAACAATTGTATTCACCATACTTTCCTTTTTATCTCGCATAAAGAATTAAAAATATAGAATAAATATAATCGAGCATAAACACTACAAGTCTATCATCCCAAACATCTGTAGTACAGTGAATTAAACTGATAAAATAGCAACATTAATTTGTTAAATATGGAACTAAACTGCAATTCTGAGACAAAAATACACAAAAATTCTACACATATAAAATTTACATAAAGACTATACAAATGAAAAATCTTTCATGCAAAAATATACTTTCATTTATAAAAGCTAGAGCAATTTCCATATAGAAAAACTTTTGTCTATTATTACTGTGCATTACATTTCGTGTATGGAGAAAAGAAGTATTTCCCATTTCAAAAGGTAATAAAATGTTAAACTGAAAGGTACTACTTTTACATGTATCCCACCTTCATTAGGAAGCTTAACACTTTTAAAATGCTTCAAGACTAAAGAAAAAATTGACAAGCAACAGGGTGGCAAAGATTTTCATTAAAAATATTGTTGTTGTATTTATGACATGTGCTGCCTGCCCAATATAAAAAAAGAGATTGAGCCATTCAACATTTAGAATAGTGTATATTATTACTTAAATACATCCAAAACAGATTAATATTCCGTCTTTGCTTTTGGCTGCAGGAAGACATAAACTAGCAGATATATATCCCGGTTCTAGCTTTTAGGTTATAATATGCAATTAATTTTTTTTTTTGCTCCCAGCATATCGTACATGTTCTTTCTTCTCATGCGTACATTGCATCATATGTATACCAAAAAGGTGTATCATTGATGGCCACTGTATTATACTTAATATCCTAAAATGTGTCATTTTATTCGAAATTAAAAAAAATAATAAATGATGTTAGAATGCCATGAAACTTACTTGAACACAATGTTTTTATAGTTGATCTAGCTATTATAAACAGAACGGTGTCTAGGTATATTTTCATCAAGAAGTGAATATGTGTGTGTACCTATATATAATTAAATTAACTGTATCTCTACACTTTTACATTAAAAAAAGTTAGTTATAAATAAGCAAAAATAATTTGACAATACTCCTAACTTTGATAAGATTTGCAATCATAACTTTACGTATTCAAAAATAAATAAAAAAAAAATAAATAATATGTGCAGTAATTTGTAAATAAAAAGATTAAAATTACATTTTTGATAAATGGCTACTAATGCCGAAATAATATGACAAATACTACAATAATATTGAAGATTTTTTTTTGTAACTTTTCCCAGTATTACAATTCAGTATATTGCAGTTTAATTTCTTTTTTCTTGCCTTTAACACAGTAAAATGAACAATATTTTTTTTTTCAAAATCTATTTTATTATTTATGTTCTACAGAGAAAATAATGATTTTTGTGTGTTTAGGCCCAAAAGACGATTTTGCATTTTAAAAATTATTTTAAAGTTTTCTGAAACTTCCTTCACATTAATAATAACTGCCAAAATTAAAAAGATTTTGAAACAATCTCCAAATTCAAACATAATAAAACTAAACTATACACTTGAATTATATATGAAAGGTTTGATTTTGATCTAGTGACTACAATTATTGAAATATTGTAGCTTCTAAACCTAAATATTTCTTATGAAATAACTGGAGCATTTATATCATTTGGATATTTAAATGCTAAGTTAGAAGCTAGTCCTTTTTAAAATATCAAAGCATCCCTCTCCTTAGGCAGATAATCTTCATTTGCTTTTCCAAACTCAACCAACTTATCGCCAGTTATACAAACTGGAAATTGAAAGCCATTTCATAAAATTTGTGATACAGTACCAAAATCGGGACTCGTCAGGACTTCGACGATTCTGGATTTGGGACCCGGATATTAGATCATCAATTTAAATCTGGTGAGATGGCATGCAGAAATCATACAATTAAAAATATGAAATCGTAATTTATGAAATAAAAAACAATTACAATCTAAAGGGTACCAAAATTTACAACAACAAAAAAAAAAAAGTTTAATATTTATTTGTTTATTTTATTAAACATTTCTTTCAATGTAAGTTGTTCAAGTTCATTCTACAAAAAATTCAAAAAGTTCCTTTTTCTTATGTCATATATAGTTGACTTTCCAACGCCATACTCTTCGCATAATTTTGAGACGGATATGCCTTTATCCATTTTTTTTTGCAGCAATTCTACTTTTTTTTCAATGGGCATCGAAACATGGTTTCGCTTTGTAGATCCTATGGCAGCTCCAGAGTTGGAAACTCTTTTCGATATAAGCGAATGTTCAAGCTTAATTTTTATAAAATTGCTGTAATAATAACAGTCTGTAAAAAATAATAAGCTGGATCAAATTAGAAGATTAAGGAGCAGCGCAGTGTTCTACCTTAATTGAAACGCCTTAGAATCAGTTAAGATAATTTTAACCTAGCTTAATAGCATCCGTTATACATTATTGGATGTGTATAACAAGATTGGCAATGAAAGCCAAGTTGTTTCGCTAAATTTTGTCTTGTTCCTATTGCGTACTGAATTATTGTATTAGTTTAGTTATTTACTATATCTACGTTTATTTCTTGCACATGCTTAAAACTAATCTGAGTCCTGAATAAATAAACTCCCACATATACTTAAGGCTTTATCTAGGGCCTGTGCTAGATACTGCCTGGTGCAGTCTCTACATTCTGCTACAAAGCACCTTCCTAAGTTCTAAATTTTCACTGTGCCTAACTTTTGGATCCCAGTGCTTTCCCCCCTAAATTATAAAAAACTTCTCATTCCTTAATTTTCCCGCTCAGTGCTTCCCCAAATTTCAAAAATTGTGTCTTCCCTAATTTCTGCCGCCCGGTGCTGCCATATTCTGCCGCCGCTTCTGTGTTTATAATGAATAACATATCAGTTATTCTTAATTAAAATAGCACTAATTGTAATCTTTTAGCCCATGAGTTTCATTAACAAAATCTATTTTTAGCATATGAAAAAAATTTTTTGAATTTTTTCTTGTCAACATTTCTAAGAGCATTTAAAAAATCTATAATCATCGCCAAGCGTAATGTTAGCAGAAAAGGTTGCCTTACTCTGTTATTCAATAATAATACAAAAAAAAGTTTAGACATCAGTGCATGAGTTATTACTGAAGCTGTCATGTATCAATAAATGCAGTGAGAAAGCAAATATAAAATAATGACTGGCCAGGTCCGTGTCAGGGATATAAAATGGGTGATGTTTTGGTTTGAGATGAAATGCCAAGCAGGCACTCAGCTATGGAGCCAAGTTATTAATCTCCCAAATTTATGCTTATGTGACTGTTTTTTCATATTGATGCATTTTATTTAGTGCCTAAGTGAAATTAAGAATTGGAATTTTTAAGTGAAAATCTCCACATGTTTTATTATTGAAGGAAAAATCAAATGCGCATGCGTAAAGCATACCAAAAAAAAAAGTTTGTGGCTTTGAGGTCCGGATTTTAGATCATTCCGAATAACAGACGTCGAGATTTCGGACTTTGTACTGTACCTTCATTTTAGTGGTGAGATTAAATATATATATATAATTTCTTTCACTTCTACTATGAACAAATATTTTTCTGCAACTTAATTCTTTTATTAATTGATTTTTGACAGTCTAAATTAATTAACCTTTCTTTTTAACATTATGTCATATTTTGTTGATATAATAATTTTTAAAGCTAAATTTTCAGATTTCCTAAGAATATTTTCTCTCATTTTCCATAAAGGAAACAGCAATCCTTCATTAATATTTGCTTTATTTATTTTAATGCAAAAATAAGAGGGCTATTTGCTCAGAAATGGATACCTCCATAGAAGATTTTCTAAGGGGAACAAGTTCATATTGTAATGTCTTAAGCTATTTTATCGACCCTCACGAAGTTCTCAGAAAGGAATGACCACCTCGAAAGTTCCCACGGACAGAGTATTTCTTAGCAAATTTTAGGAAAGAGGAAGTGACCAGCAGTCACAAAACAATCTCAGCTTTTTTTTGTTCCTCTTATAGTTGTTCCAAAGGAGACATTGTTCAGTTCCCTTTCATTAGTTTATAGGTTCCCCAAATTTCAAAGTTCTTGTTTAGAAATAGTTCAAAGTTCTTGTTTAGAAATAGTCTCAGACCACCCAGTTTGAGACCCCCAGGTGGAACCGGAAAGTTCCCACAGACTTTTTCCCAGGCTGTCTTCATCATATCCAGTTTTTAATCAAAGTGCTCTCGCCAATCAAGAGGTGCTTCTAAAAATTACGGACAAATAAGGATCCTAGAAGTTTTCCGACATGCCCAGGACAACTTGAAAAAAATCATGGAACGCAGTTCCAGAGAGAGAGAAAAATAAAGAGTTAGTTGCAGTAAGTAGAGAGAGAAACATTCCCTCGGTTTTTTCCAGCTCAGCCACAAGCAAATTTTTGCTTTGCTCTGCGTAGAGCAATGTCAATATCTCTGCCAAGAGATACAGCGAGGTAGCCGGGTTCACCGCTGCCTTACGATGAGCATCCTGCTTGGACACAGCTCAGTCCGGGAACCACTGGCTGATTTGATTTATTCAAGACAGCCTCATCTTGAACTATTTCTAAACAAGAACTTTTATCTAAACAGGAACTTATTCACCCTACTGTGAGATCAATATTTTATAAGTTTATTTATTTTTATTTTTTTGCATATATCCTAGAAAGAACCCAAATAAATTATTTACGCTGCCCCTTGTCTTTCGAATTCAGCACAATATGGATCTCTCACATGAGGGAAATAAAGATACCCACGCAGCCACACCTTTCATCATCACTCAAATATTAGATTAATCCCTCTGTAGGGTTTCTTTAAGTTATTTAGCCAGTTATTTTAATGATTTAGATATTTACTGTCACTTCTTCCTCCTGTTTCCATGCCAGAATGCATATGTATTTAAACTGAGGTTTTTAGATTTTAAAACAGAAGTTCTGCCTCTCTAGGCCATGTTACTAGATTGCTAGCTTAGATATGATTTGTAGTCTTTGGCCTTGCATTACAATTGCCGATATCAAATTTCCACGTTGGTTAGATTTGTCGGCTAGTTTCACATTAAATTAATCTGCATAGCCTTTGGCTACTAATATATTTAATTAAAATTTTATATTGAACTTTTTATTACTTTAAGTTAGCTTTAAAAAAACCACTCATGCTTTCTGTTCTCCCTTAGTTTTAAATAAAGGGTCTTTTACACTCTCTCAATGCTCAGTTGCTATTTTAGATATAGCAATAATTCGTTGCAAATTTATCTAAAGTTTGGCTACAGTTTATGATAGTCAGTTATGACAGTTTATGATAGGATTACTAAACTTTATATCTCTAATTAAGCATGCAGCTTTATGCATATTTAAAGTTTTTGATTGCAAGACTTATTTGGCTTTCATTTTCTTGCAGTTTTAAATTCTACAAAAGCATACATAATATATTAATCTTATTTGCAAAAGAGGCTGCCAGGTTCAAACCATCATAATGATTTATCATTCAGTGCCTTAAAAAAGTTTGAACTTTGGATAAATATAAAGTAATCAGTAGAAAATTATACAAAATATGTGAAATTGTGTTTTTGTCAAATTTTATATATAAATTATTAATAGTTAATTAAATTTTTGATTTGTTTAAATGATTAAAGAAAAGCACACAAGCTAGGCAAGTGCTCAAGAATATAGGGCAATTTTTGTTATTTTAAATTTGTTACTTTAAAATAGTGCTTCACAATACATTTCAGAATTTAAAATTAACTATCATAATTTATTTTTTAAACACATTTCTTAAATTTCATAACTTATTTAGTGTACCTCTTAGCCCTTCATCTGAGCCTCACTGTTATCCTGGCTCTGGTTACAAGCATTACATACTACTTTCATCTATAAATGTAAAATACATGACTAAACAGTATAAATCAATATACTGTTCAAATATAAGAAATGTCTCATACAATAATTTACATTTTATATGTGAGTGCAACAATAGGATGTAAAAATACGTATCGGCATTTTTATTTTTAAGTTTTGTGCTTTGCGAATATACAAAAATGATTTTAATATATAAGTTATTATTAGTAATTTTGCATTTTATTTAATTTAAACTGTATAAATTAGGATATTTTGTCAATTCTATACAAGAAAAATAAAACTAAAAGAGGGGGACACATTAGGCTTAATTGAAAATAAAATTCTTGGGCAAACAGTGACATTTGGTGTTCATTTATAGGCTTGCTGGGAAATTTAATTCTTTCTATACCAGAAGTGAAACAGTTATATTAAATCTTGGAAGCCACTATGAAAGATTTGTTTTGCATCTTCATATTGCCAGTGTAATGGAACAAAAGTTGGATATCCATGAAGGGAATATTTATAGAGCAAATTTCTCACTATCAGACTTTTTTTTTATCTTTGAAGTCTGAAAATCCAAGCTATAGAGAAAGAATGCTTGTGAAAATTCTAATTGGACATTTTTATACAGCAGATTTAAAGGAAATTTGGCTACCAACTAAAGTGTCGGGCAATTTTTGTATTTATGACAATTTAGTTATTTTATTACATTCTGACTAAATCCTGATATAAAACTTACAAATAAAATTTGCATAAAAAATGATTTAAGTGGTCCACTAGTGTATGCATGATGCAATGAAGCTACCTTCAATACTTTCAAAGACCATACCCAGAATACTTCAAGCCAAAGATGTTTAAACCAGCTGATTAATCAGGAAAGAAAATTGACACGAAAATAAATTACTCTTAATTAAAACTAGTTCTACTCCAATACACCAACAGCATAAATTAAATAACCAAACTTAAAAGTTTTTTTTTAAACATACTATCTAATAGGAAGGAATTAACACATTTTGTAACTAAAAAATAATAGCTATTATATTTTTTTTAATACTCAGAATTATTTCATTCAGAGAAAAATTATCACAAATACGAATATTATATTAATTTAGACAGACAGACCTGTTTATAGGAAATTTGTTTTCAGACAGAGAACTTTTTGATTGCCTTATCTGTTGAATTTTTCGTTCTGCTTCAGCATGGCTAAAAATTGCAAGTCCTAGTGGAATGCGTAACAGCCTGTATGAAAATAGATACAGGATTTATACAACTATTTGGCAAAGCAACAAACTATTAAAAGTTCTGAAAATTATTGGAAAAAATGCATACCTCATCTTCACAGCCAGATATACAGACTGAAGTATCGATGATGCATCCATGTCATTATTTCTATGAAACTTAATATAAGCCCTAAAATTTTTGAAGAAAACAATATAACATTTCTAGGGGGGAAAAAGGTTTTTAAAAGTATAAATGTCTCATTTTATTTAATCAATCATAACATTATTACAATTTAAGCACTCGACTGGAAAAAAGTATTTTAGTAGGACTGGATTACTCCTACTAAACTTCAAATGAGTTTAAAAAATACTTGATTTTGCAGGTTGAAGAAGTGCTATACCTGCTACAATTAGCTGCTAAATCTCTAAAACAGGTAGAAAAAATTGCTAAATTTTTATAACAGCTAGAAAGCAATATTACATATTACATTTTTCATCTCTAAAAGCAAACTATCACAGAAAATTTGCCACAATTTTAAAAAGTTGCCAAACAGTGCTGAATCATCAATTATATTTATATTTATACATTTCTAACTTCTTTATAGTGAAGTTTAATTTTTTAACAATATTTTCAAATTAACAGAGTTGTTTTATTAAATTAATTCACCTTAATTTATTAATAATTCATTGTAATTATTATCAGTGTAATTCCCATTGATATTAAAAAAAAAAAAAAAAAAAAAAAAAAAAACCACCATACTTTCCAAGACGTAAAGGAATAAGCACTGACTGAAAATAAATATGCTGAAAAGTCATGTAATAAATAATAAAATTCACACATGAATTTCACACACGATCACTTATTTCTTAGACTGTTTGCTTAATTAAATGTCACAGAACACTAAGGTCAAAGCGAAGGGATATCTCTTTGGAGGACTTGAGGACTATGGTTTCTATGGAGGAAATGTTTACTATAAATATGAACCAGGTTAAAAATCTTGTTCATATTTATACTAAACATGGAGAAATCCATTAATACCCATGCAACCAGCCCATTCACTAGGATCTAAACATGGATCAAACTACCAATATTCAGCAGTTTGATCAACTTTTAAACTACAGCCACATTTTACATAGAATTCATAGATCTGCAAGTCAACTTAGTGAAATTATTCTTTAAATGAGAATAGTTTAATATCCTGACACAATTAGTCACATTCCAGCATATTACTCATATGTGCATATTTTCTGAGGTTAGTCTGTTAACATGTTGTCTTAGTACTTAAAGAGTTGCACTGTAGTAAATGTAAATTACAAATGACGGCTTATTCTGATCTAAACAAAGCTATGATCAATTTTGTTTGCTTGTTCAAAGCCAAATCACTTGAAAGAACCTGCCTAAAAAGAAGCAACACAGAGGATTAAGGGAAATTTGACTATATTTATGTTAAACATAGTGAAAACTATGAGAACATGCATGCAGTCAGCTTGCCTGAAAAGGTTCAAATCCAATAAAACTACCAGTATTCTGCACTCTTATCAGGTCTAAACTACAATCAAAGTAGAATTGCAAAAATTAAATTCAAGACCAAAGACGTCATAAATTGAAGCTTAACACTAGAATTACGGCAGCGGTCATTTTGACCGTACCTCCATTTTAATTGATCATAAATGTTTTAAGTCTTTATTTATAACTTTGATATTTTTTTTTACTTTTTCTATAAACGTATGATATAAAAATATTACATATTTTTTGGTCCATTTTAAATAATTATTTTTGCCTATATTATTGTTTATATATAGAATTATTGCTACCGGTCATTTTGACTTTATCCAGGAAATTACATATTTTTCATATTTTTAAGACTTTTATAGGTATTTCCGGTTTGCTAATAAATAAACAAGTGTATTTTTGGTAAGGAAGATTACATATTTCACAGAAGTGAATGGAAAGGGGAGGAGGAGGGGAAAAAAACCACCTGGTTGGAATTTTTGCATGCTAGATGTCTACACGTTTTCCTTGTGTTAGAAAAGTTATTTTTCAGTAGACACAAATATACTTTACTTCATTTGCATAGTTTTGTTGTACTGACCTGTTTATCATTCTGCATAGAAGCATTGGTAAAAAATGCCTAACGAAGGGAGAGATGCTGAAAGTTTTTGAAAGCCTTTCTGATGATAATTCCGCCTCAGAAACAGAACCTGCTGATGAATTTTATACTGAAACTATATCCAATTTATTCGACGAGGACTGGATTATTCCTACTGAAACAAATGAATCCGATTTGTATGATAGAAAATCTATTCACGAAACAGAAAAGTAAAAATTTATACCAAGAAAATATTACATTGCCTCCTACTGGTATAGCTTCCGGAAGTGAAATCAATGGCAGTAGTCTAGCTCGAGAAAGTAGTGAAAGACAACAAAACAGAAATCAAGAACAAGAAAGATGTATCCAAAGCAAGGAAATTCAAAACAATGAAGAAACAGCGAATGATGGTTCAGTTTGGAAAATAGGAAATATTTCAACATGTCAAAAACAAAGTCCAAAATTAAAAATCAGCGTAAATTGTTAAAAATGTTTTGCAGTACTAGTTTTGATAGTTTTTTTAACTATCTTATTCAGCTGCTTAAGTGCAAATGAACCAAATAAAGAGTGAAGTAAGATCAGATAAGGATCTTCATAAATTCTTCTGACTCACTTAAAACGATCGCTTATCCTATCTGTTGCGAACTGTGCCAGATTATATGCTCTTCCCAAAATTCATAAAAGTGGTATTCCTTTCCACCCTATTGTATCAAATTTAGGCACTGCATCATACCTGTTAGCTAAATATTTAGCTTCTAGATTTTCAACTTTATTGGATAATAACATTTACACCTTAAAAAATTCAATAGAGTTTGTAAAAAAAGTTCAAAGTATTTCTCCCTAAAACTTCCTCATGGTTTCTTTTGATGTTAAATCATTATTTACCAATGTTCCAGTGGAAGGTGCATTAAAATGTCTAAAAACTAGACTTCGTGAATTTCATTTCTCTTGCATCGAAATTGATGAACTAATTTCAGTTACTCTGTTTGAAACAAACACATTTTATTTTCCAAAATAAGTATTATAAGCAAACTCAGAGATTAACCACGGGAAGCCCTCTTACTCCAATCCTTGTTGATAACTACATGCATTATTTTGCATCAAAATATTTGAAACTTTAAACTTCCCAGTTTGGTTCTGCTATGCTGACGATACATTAATCCTGTTTGGCGGTAACGAAAATGATTTAAATAATGTTCTTTCAATAATGAATTCCATTGATCCTGCTATTCAGTTCACTTCTGAACTTGAGATATCCAATTCTCTTCCATTCCTCGACATTTTGGTTCACATGTAACATGTCGGACTACAATACTACTGTTTACCGAAAACCTTCATCGGTTTGCCTTCCACCACACTTCAAACCATGTCATCCGACGAAACAGAAGTTAGCTTCATTTTATTCCTATGCTTTCCAAGCACTTCAAGTTTGCTCCTCCAAATTAGCTCTTGATCAAGAACTAAATTATTTAAAAGCAATTGCTATTGACAGGGGCTTTTCACCCAACATTATTAGCAGTGCAGTTAAAAAATTATCATCGGAACACATCAAAAGATACAATCCTGAACAGAATACAAGAACAAAATTCTTATAATCACCCGTTTTAAGGTGATTATAAGAATTCTATTCTCATTCCTTTCTTTCTGTCAATTAGCTATAAAACTGCACGTATTTTGCAGAAATTTAACTTTTGGGCTGTTTTCTTTCCTATCAATAAAATTCCTAGTTCCATGCTTACGGACTCCATTTCGGATATGAATTCCTGGGGTATTTACAGGATTGCCAATGTGGTTTAATTTACATTGGCCAAACAAAAAGAGGTTTAAAATTTCATGTTAAAGAACATGAGGCATATGTTAGGAAAAAGGAAACACAGAAATCAGCTGTTGCTCAGCATTGTTGGAATGAAAATCACACTTTCCATTTTTCTGCTGCCAAAATTATTCAAAAACATCGTTCATTGGTGAACTGAATTTTTTAGAAGCTTTTCACATCCAAAAAAAACTTTTCTGTTATAGTTAATGACCCAAATTGCAATCCATCTTTATCTTTAGTCTTTAAAGATATTTTGTTTTAGTTTTTCTTCTTTCATCAATAGATGGCAGCTGTAGCTTAACCTTCTGTCCAACTTTTCTTATCTTATCTCTATCCTTATTTTTCTTCACCTTTTATTTGGTTCACTTGCATTTAAGCAGCTGGAGCAGATAGTTCAAAAAAATATCAAAACTAGTACTTCAAAAATGTTTAACAATTTACACTGATTTTTAATGTTGGACTTTGTTTATGATTATTTTTCGTGATATATAAACTAAATTTCAACATGTGTTAACGAGGAAACGTCTTCAGCAGAATGTCTTATGAGAAAAAGGTGGGCCAACTTTGTATGCAAGGAGAAAAATAATTGCTAGTAACTCAAGTACTGCATGCAAGTAGTGTTGATAAAAGACACTTTTTTTACTCCGCTGAAAATTAGTAAAAAAAATGAGGAGTTCAGAGATAAGCTACATTGGCACAATAATTTGTTTAAAAAGAGAAGTACCTTATTCTTTCAAAAATACGAGGGATGAACTCTCTTTTATTTAGTAAGATTGCTAAGCATGATAATATAACGCTTACATCTTATCAAGGAAAAAAAAAAAAACAAGAATGTTCTGCTCAAGAGTACCATGCACCCAACATTGGAAATTGCATCTGATGAAAAAAGGACACTGAAAGTTGTGGATTTTTACAATTCGATCAAATATGGAGCTTATGTTTTGGACCAGATGACCAGAAAATATTCAGTGAAACCCTCATGCTGACGTTCGCCAGCTCATTTTTTTTTTAATATTCTTGCTTTGGCTGTGATAAATGCATGCATAATTTACAAAGAAACAACTGAATATAAGAATATCAGCTGTCATGATTTTATTTTGAATATGGCTGAGGAGCTTCGAAAGATGTACATTTTATCCAAAATCACAAACTAATGAAAAGAGAATTGGTACTTGCATCAACCCTTCCCGTAAACGTAAACAAAGCCAAATAAATGCATAAAAAGGCAACAAGACTTTGAATATGTATGAATAAAGTAAAAAAATATGTTTGTGGAACCTGTACAAGTAAAACTAAAAAATTAGTAATCTGTATGCACTGCAAAACCGAGTAATGTAAGTACTATTATGTGTAAATTTTAATATATTTATTTCATATTGAAAATTTTTCTGAGGCAATTTATTAAATGGCATACCTGACAACCTCTAAAGATAAAAATTCAGAAGATTTCTCCAAAATTCAGAAGAACACGAAGAATTAATATCATGCTTTGATATTAAAAAAATAACAATTTATACAAATAGAAAAAAGAAAAATTGTACTTACATTAGTAAATCTCAATTAAGTAGTAACTAAAAAATTTATTAGGAAACATAAAATAAGAATTTAATGTTACACAAAAAAATTATTGCAATGAATTTAGAGTGCATTTTTTGGCTTTAGCCAAAAATTCTTTGGAAAATTTCCTGTCATAACAATTAGTTTCCTCTTAACATTTAGCAATTAAAATGTTTTCTAGAGTTTTTGGTGAAATTGAAGAACGAAACATAGTTTTGTTTTTCTTCACAACACTGAAGACTCTCTCGCACTCAGCATTACTGTGTGGAATTACAAGAATAGCACATAATAGTCTATCATATTTTGGTGTTCCATCAGCTCTTTTTATTCTTTTTAAGGTACCAACGAGGAAATCAAGTCTCCAGAACTGGCAAAGTCTTCAACTGTGCAGCAGAAAATTGGTTCTATAGTTCATCTAAAGCATCATTATGGCATTCATTTTCTTTAATTGTTAACAAAAATGGAAATTTATCAATAAAAAAACGAATCTTTTCAAAAGATGAATTTTCAATTTGCTTCAAATTTGCCACTTCAGCATTTAAAAGAATTTCATTTTGCAAAGGAAACTTCCTTACAACGTAATCACAGGCTGAGGAAAGGTTCTTTCTAACACATTGAAAAAATTCTTTTTTCTCATGATCTTTCAAAGAATTTACAAGTTCCCTGGTTTGATTTCCAATTATAAGATCATTGTCATCCTTTTGATTTGCCAAACTATTATAGGCAACACGAATCAACACACTGTTTTTCACAACAGACGGCATTACAAACTTAGTGTAAAGTTCTTTCAAAAGATCATTAAGAATTTGGATAAGCAGGGGAGATTTTGGCAAAGCTGATTGTAGAAGGGTATTTACACTTTCAAGTTGACCTTTGAGAAGTCTTCTAAGCATTTTCTTTTTAAAGGGTTTGATTCTGTGTGTTGGCTTTTCCCTTTTAAAGCATTTTGATTAGAAGCAAAGTTGGTTTTCGGAATCTTATATGCCGATAAATTTGATGGGATCTGTGGTTTCGTTTTGGTCTCTGTGGAAATATTTTAGCAATGCATCCCACTGTTCAATAAACCTTCCTAGCGCTCTGCCTAAGGATAACCATCTCGTGCATACATGTTTCAGAGCTTTTCTTGTTTCACCAGAGCACAGTTCTTGGAAATTCTTTAGGTTTTCTTTCCTTTTTACACTTTTTTCCAGATAGAAAAACACATCAATCAGAAGCTGGTCAATATTTAATGGTAAAGCAGCTGCAGCTTTTTCTGCTGCCAAATTAAGTGGTATGGGCATCTAATAACAATTAATTCATTTTGTTCTTTTTTGAGGAAAGAGGCTACACCCATTTTGTCACCCACCATGACATGAGCATTATCTGCACCAAATGAAATGCAGTTTGATATTGGGATGTTAAGTTGTTTCAACTGATTAATTACCAAGGAGGCAATATTTTCCCCTGTACTCTGAAGTGCAGCTATCGTTTTACTTTGCGCATCGCAAGCAATTTCGTTCACAATAGAAGATGTTTTCGAGCAAGCATAAGCATACTTCTGAGCAATCTTGGAGTCGGGAAACATCCGTCTGAAAAGTTGACCGGCGTGATCGGCAGCGCTTAGCGGCACGTTGTGTTCGATGAGGAATGCAGTAAACAAACACTCTGCCAAAATGACATTGGCGTCCGAATTCGTAGCCGAATTTGAAAAAAAAAAAAAAAAAAAAAAAAAAAAAAAAAAAAAACATCCACTTTCTTTGACATTGTCGAAGCCGAAGCATTAGACGTTGTCGAATGCTTTTTAGACTTAACATGCTTCACAATGTCGCTTCTTCCACAGTTATTATGAAGTCGCACACGTTGAAAAATGCATAATTATTTCCTTTGAAGGATTCTTTAATTGTTCGAAATTCGGCTTTGTAGGCAGGCCGAAAATATTGAGAATACGTTTTTTTTTAACTCATTTCGTAACAACGACGTATTAAGAAAATTCAAAAAAGAAAAGAGTGGGAGAAACAAGTTCAGCGCATTGGATTGGCTGGTTAAGCGGCGAGTTCGGAGAAACCGCAGGTTACTGGATTCGAAGTAGTCGGTAGTTGGTGGTAAAACACGATGCAATTGGCGAAAATTGCTGAATTGGTGAAAAATTCTAAAATATCGACAAAAAACACTAAAAACACTTGAAAAAGGAAAAAAATTGTAAAAAATGGATTATGATCATAAAATCGTAAAGACAAACGCATTTTCGTAAAAATTACAAAAAATTCGTAAAAGTTGGCAGGTATGAAATGGTAATTGTTATTATTATATTTTTCTTCTCTTTTATAGCTCTTTGTTATAGAAAATTGTCTCTTCATTAATGCATTTACTCACTTTATTTTGCTTTTTGTTACATTAAATTACATTTTGGTTGCATGTACTTACTCAATTTACTTTATTTACTTATTAAACAAGCAAAATGTATAGTTATAGGCATTAAGTTTACATAATATTACTAAAAAGTGAGCCTTTTCTTTTATTTGGAACAAGCGGTCAAAATAACTGCTGGTTGTAGTTAACAGGTCTACGAAAAATGCCGTAATGCTAGTGTTAATGAAACATTAAACTTCTATGAAATAAAGTCATATATATGGGAAATCATGCATATATTTCTTTTCACTCCCTTTTTATTTCTCTAATATTTGATGCACATAGCTAAAGCTTTAGGCATCCCCTCTTCAAACAGCTCACATTAGTATATTAGTATATGTTTGTTAAGCTTTGACTTAAAACTGATTAGAAACTATGCTATTTTTACTTTGGTTTCAGAACTGAATTCATTTAAGTAATAAACAAAGCTTTTGAATTTCTATCAATCCAAATTATCAAAATAAACTCTAAATTTTCATTAGGCAATTTAATAGACTTTCTTACATTCTGATTTTTAAAACTGAAAATTCCAAATATATTTAAGGTATTTATTGTGTTTAATATAGTAACTACATACAGAAAATATAGAGTTATCTACAAAGAGTTTTATTTAAAAGCTCAGTACAATAAATAAAATGTAATCTCTGAATAATCACCAACAAAAAATCTGGCAAATATGTGATCTACCGCTTTCAGTTAGTTATTTATTTTTCAGATGGTAGCACTGAAATCGGTTGTTCCTTCAATCCTCTTTTTCTTCGCATTTTATTACATGTTCAAATTTAAAAATAGCACATTAGCAGTGGCATCTGAGAAATACACTAACTAAAAGTGATAGATTGCTAACAACATGATTATTGAAACCTGAATCCTTACTTTTGACCTTCAAATTCAATATCCATCCTGTCACTACAACAGGTCATCAAATCTTTCAAAGCAAATGCATACAATAAACCCTGGTCATGAGGGAGTCCAGTAATCTGTCAAAAGCACCAAAGAATATGAATACTTAAAGAGTGAGAATAAAAAACTTTCGTACCTTCAAATTACAATAAAATTTATTAAAATGCCTACATAAATTATGAAATTAAACATTAGGAAAACATTATGGAGTGGGGGAAACTTTTTTCTTTTATTAAGACATATCAACACATTTAATTTCAAAAATATTATACTGAAAAGTGATAATCTAACTTTCCAGTCACCAAAAATTACAATGCTCATTTCAAAAGAGCTTTAGCTTAGTTTACCTAATTTAAATAACATATATTGTTATAGCTGAAAAGAAGTACAGTGGAACCTCAAAATACCAAAACTTCTATATACGAGAAATTTGAGATATGAAGAAAATTTGTAAGGATCTTAAGTTTTACTAACGTTTATTTTATTTTAAATCTTTACTATCACTTCTTATTTTCTACTTCCGGCCAGAATTATAAGCGTGAAGGAGTTTATGCAAAGTTGTCTGGCGAACGCCAAGTATTTAAGTGTGGCCTTTTTGCCAAGCAGAAGAGAGGAAGCCGTGAGTTCGAAGCAGGCCGCTTACCTTAGAAGTTACGCAGTTGCTACTTTGCCTTCCAGGCCAGAGGTTTTAATCCTCTTGATAAATTAAACGTATTGTAGTGTTCACAGTCTCTGTGCTACATACGCTTCCTGTTATTATAAGGCCAATCTTATTCTAAAGTTAAATTAGAGTTTAGTTTTATTTTGATATCTTTTAAGTTAGACCCCGAGTGGAGGGTCATTGTATTCCGAAGTACGGAAGTCATTGTATATAAAGAAAAAAATAAAGGGTTTTGTATACCCTTCGTCTGTATCCTGTCTACTTACTACAATTAGTGAACATAGCTTTAGTAAGCTCTCTGTTCTAGTCAGGTCATTGTATGTTTCCGAAGAAGGTTAGAAGAAACATTGAACCTGATAGTGGCGCCCGACGAAGAATAACCATGGCCGAGTTTCAAGAAGAACCTGTGCTGCCTGCAGAAACAGCTCAGAATCCAGAAATGCCAGCTGCCGCCCTGGAAGGATTTGGGTACATTGTCCAGACCATGCGCGCTTCGATGAAACCAGAAGCAACGTTTAATGGAAACTCACAGGTAACCAGTTTTTTGGAAAAATTGGATGACCACTTCATGCTCTACCCCGTGCACGAGTTTCAAAAAGTTACCTTAGCTACCAGCGCTTTGAGGGGCCAAGCGCTTAACTGGTTCAAATGTATCGGCAGAAGTCTCTTGGGTCAAGCAGGAAGTCCCACCTATACCTACGAAAATTTCAAGACTGCCCTACTACTAAAAGCCTTCCCTGTTGTAAGGGATCGTGCGAAATTAGAAACAGAACTTTTCAGTATATATCAACAAAGAATGGAAAACCTCTCGAGCTTTATTTTAAGAAAAATTCACGTTTTCAAGCTCTTGTATGGAAACCGTCCGGATCCTGAAATAATTCAAGTGATTTTGCCGAGGTTACTACCCCAAGTGCAAGACTTTATTGAATTGAGAAATCCGACTACACTGGAAAAATTATTTGAGCTAGCAATCCAGTTTGAAAGTAGAAGAACGGCGGACGTCGAAAGAAGACGCCAATATCAACAGCGAAACCAATTTGGTACGCCAAGACTACAGCAAACTCAAGCACATGGCTACGGAGAAAAAGCGAATCAGTGGGCAAGGAAACCCGAGCATTCAAAAACAGCCGGCGAACGTCGACAGTTCAATAGCAACCCAGGAAAAAAGTCTCAAGGCCAGTGGAGAAAGAAGGAAAGCACCGAAAGAAAAAATAATTTAAACTAAAACGGATTTCTGCTGACGAGAGGGTGCGGAAATCCGAAGGCCACGAAAACCCCTCTTCCTACAAGTTAAATACAGTAATGGTGAAAAATTTAACTCTTCCGAAGATTGAAGTCTTGGTAAATAATATCCCGGCCACCGCACTCCTGGATACCGGCGCGCAGTGTTCCTGTGTGGCAGAAGTCTTTTTTAGAAAGTATTTTCGCAAATACCGCATATATAATGCGGATAATACAACAGTATTAGCGGCGCAAGGAGAACAATGTAAGTGCGTAGGTAAAGTACCTTTGTACATCCGTATCAAGGACGAACAAGTAAAGGTGATGTTTTTTATAGTAAAGAATTTGCAAGCACACTTAATACTAGGAATAGACTTTCTTTCAGACGCACAAGCTACACTGGATTTTAATGAAGCGTCTCTTAAGCTGACGATGAAACCAGTGCGTGTAGAAAAGGTTGAACCGCCCAAGGTTAAATCTTGACCACCTGCCTAATGACGAGCAAGATAGAATCCGACAAGTGGTAAGTGAATTTGCTTCCTTATTTAGTGATATTCCAGGATTTACCCAGGTTACTAACCATAGTATTGACACCGGAGATGCATTGCCGGTTCGTCAAAAACCATACCGGTATGATAAGAATAAGGAAAAAATTATAGAATGGCATATTACCGATATGCTACGTAAAAAGATCATAACGCCTATCTCAAGTAGTTATGCTAGTCCGGTGGTTTTATGTAAGAAAAATAATGATTATCCTTTGGAGCATCCAAAAAGGTGGAGATTCGCTATTGATTACCGTAAATTAAATTCCATAACGAAATATCCGGTATATCCGTTACCGATTATAGAAGAAATTTTAAGGAACATAAAATCAACCAAATTTATGACGACTTTAGACTTAACGAATGGTTATTTTCAAATAGGGATCAGGCCTGAGGACGTGCCTAAGACTGCTTTTATAACCAAGTCTGGCACTTATGCATTTTTGCGAATGCCGTTTGGCCTTTCAGGGGGCCCCAGCAACATTTCAGCGATGCATGGACATTGTGTTAAGACCTGTTCTGGAAAGTCCACATTTATCTATTTAGACGATATCATTATTACTAGTGATAATCTAGACCAACATGTACAGGATTTAAGACAGGTGTTTTCTTTATTAAATGAGGCCGGTCTAAAAGTTAATGTCGAAAAGTGCAAATTTGCAGCCCCTGAATTAAAATATTTAGGTTACAAAATATCGCAAAAAGGGATCGAGACAGATGAATCAAAAATAATCGCTGTACAAAAGTATCCGACTCCAAACACGGCAAAGAAGCTCTCTTCTTTTCTAGGACTTTGTTCATATTATAGGTCCTTTATAAAAGATTTTGCGGCTATCGCTGAGCCATTGTTAAAATTAAAAAGGAAAAAGGCAAGATTCTCGTGGACGGCCGAAGCCAATAGTGCTTTCGAAAAATTAAAACAAGCATTAACGCAAGCCCCTGTGTTGAAATTTCCTGAAAAGGATGAAAATTTAGAAATTTCAGCGGATGCTTCGGATTATGCGGTAGGAGCGGTACTTTCGCAAAATCAGCAGCCCGTGGCATTTTTTAGCCGAACTTTAAATCAAACACAAAGAAACTATTCCGCGACCGAGAGAGAGGCACTTGCAGTTCTGTTAGCAGTGCAAAAGTTCCGAGTCTATTTTGGAAAGGCGCCGATAACAGTATATTCTGATCATGCGGCGGTAACTAGATTGTACTCAGGGAAAAAATTTATCCCCAAGGTTAATAAGATGGGCACTCAAGCTGCAAGAATATAATCTGGTAATCAAGCATACCCCCGGAAAGGAAAATATCGTAGCAGATGCCCTATCACGAATTAAAATTAGACGAAAGGTAATACCGTAAAAGTTGCAATGCTGACAGCGTGTACAATAAATTCCCGAGAAACTGTAATAACCGAACTGGGTAAGGATCCTGAGTTTGGAAGTATTTATGAGTATTTGAAGGATCCTGAAAATTTTAGCCACCAAGATATTGTGGCGATAAGAAATAGGGCGGCCCATTACGAACTAATAGATGGTCTATTATTTTTATACAAAAACTACGAATTCCAACAACGAATTTCGACCTGTTATCCCAGCTAGTCTTAGATTAAATATCCTGCAGGAGCTCCATGACAGCCCTTTAGCTTCTCATGCTGGTATTCGAAAAACTATCCAACGCGTACGCGAGGCAGTCTACTTTCCTGAACTGCAAAAGTTAACAAGGGCGTATGTCCAGTCCTGCCCAACATGTCAAGCAGTTAATTATATTAATTTCCGCCCGGCCGGGTTTCTAAATAGTATTAAATCCGAATTTCCAAATGAAATAATTGGCATCGATTTATTGGGCCCTTTCCCAAAAAGTCAGTTAAATAAAAGTCGCTATCTCCTTGTTATGGTTGATCATTTTAGTAAATGGACCGAAATTGTTCCCTTAAAACGAGCCTCCGCGAAATTAGTTACTGATTCTATTTTAAATAAATATATTTTAAAATACGGGGCGCCCCTAAAAGTTATATCGGATAATGGTCCTCAATTTGTAAGTAATATATTTGAAGACATGTGCCAAAAACTGGGCATACGTCATTTAAAAATGGTCCCGTATCGGCCGCAATCAAATATAGCGGAACGGGTCAACAGAAATATAGTGAAAATTATCCGTAGTTATGTTAAAAATTTTCATAAAAGCTGGGATAACTATGTCAATGAATTTGCTTTCGCCCTTAGGACCGCAAAACATGATACAACGGGCAAAACTCCTGCTGAGTTATTTCTAGGCAGAAAGATTATAACACCGTTAGATAAATTATTTTATGTGCAACAAAGAGCCCCAGAATTTAAAATGGGTGATATAGAAAAACTAATTAAAAGAAGCAAAAAAGAATACTGAAGTAGCACAAAGAAAACACAAAATTGTATTATGACTTGAAACGACGGGGAGTAACTTATAAAGTAGGGGATGAAGTATTAAAAATTAAGCATTCACTTTCTTCAGCACCAGAAGATAAAACTGCCAAATTTTTTCCACGATTTGAAGGACCATATGTTATAGAAAAAATAACTCACGCTGTTGTAGTGTTAAAAGGCCAAGAAATGGTGAAACCTGTTCCGCAAACATTGATCAAATAAAACCCATTACTATGATCGTAATAAAATGCAAATCTTTTCAGATCTTTTGCAGGATCCGGCACGGCAGACACCGCAGGTACAAGTTCCAGAGGTGGGAAAAACGACAAGTACAAGGGCAAGCCAATGAGAGACAGAAGCAAGTGAAAAGAAAATTGCCCCGCGGAAAAATTGAAGGTAACAAGAAAAAGAAGCCGTTCCACCGTCCAAAAAACAGAGTTCACGAAACACCCCAGAATGAAGAAGGGAGAAGGACGACGTATGTGAAAGAGACCAGGAGAAATGACGGCAACTATAACCCGGCTCTAAAACGGAAGATCTACTCATCCGACAGGAACTCTCCGCAGCAAAATGTCGCCGAACTACGGAAGGGCCATCAGCGGCGGAGGAAAAAGTACAAGGAAAATTTGAACGGCCAACAACGAGGTCCAAGCAGGAACACGACAGAAGTTTCCCGGTTCCGCCAAGACCAGCTGCCATCAAACGGCCAAGACCACAAGCAGAGGAGAAAAAGAAGGTATTCAAGGGTGGCCGAACTGGTGAAAAAAGGAAGCTTCCAGAGGAAAGCACTGAAGGGCGAGCCCGTACAAGAAGGAGGATAAACCAAGCTACTATCTGCAGTACCTTTAAAGACTGGGCCCAGAAAAGGATGTCCGAATATCACAAAGATAAGTAAAATTTTATGTTACTTTGCAAACTTAAGTTAATCTTTCATTCTTACTGCAAGTGGCAGATTTCAAGAAGTTTTACCTCATGCGAGGTCTACCTTTATCGCCAAAAGGGCGAGAAATGAGTTGTTGACCGATTTCTGGTATTATGTTTTTCAATTACTCGCGCGTAAAACTAAAGTTGATGTATAATAGCGTTGTGTAAAAGACTTAAATATTGTAAAAAGTTATTGTATAAATTTTATTTAAAACATTCTGGCAAGAAAGAAGTTTTAGTCTGAAAGACTTTTTGAAATGTAGTATTATTTCAATGTAGAAAGAATTGGCACTTGCTTTGAAAAGAATAGAAGTTAACAATGTACTACTAATGTATGTTTTCAAATGTGTAAAATTAACGGCATGTTGATATGTTCTTATATACAATGTGAACTGTTATTTTAAATGTTAAGAAATACCGTGATATGGTAAAAGTGAAAGTAATGTTAAAAAATTTGTTATTCGTGTGACTGTAAAAAGATTAAATCATGGTGAATATGTGTTAAAGGTTGAATGATGTAGTTAGGCTCTCTGACGCTACACTTTAGAGTTAGCCACTTTCAGAATAGTACCTCAGGGTTTAGAGTTGAAATTAGGGTGTGTTAAGAGGTCTCGTTATGTTGAATTTTAACACGTTAGTGTTTTGATTGTAGGAGGAAGTGTTGAACACGTAGACAGAAACACATTCGTGTTTGGTGTTCTTTTACAACACATGTCAGAGAGAGCACGGGGAGAGATAATTAAAATAGTCATGAATGAAATAAGAATGTTAAGAGAAAGTATATTCTATATGTTACTTGCCAATGTCATTGTGTAACATTTCATTAAACTAGTTTTCCTTCCAGATCTCTGGAAGGAACCAGAATTGAATAAAGCTCCTGTTTAGATGCAGTACAGATGAAAAAGAAAAAAGATTGTTGTATATCCGGGAGCTGCTATTGTAACAAATTTCTTTCTTTTAAAATTTTCTAGTTTCTAGCTAAGTTATGTTTGTAAAAGATTGGCCTCGCGTTAGATTCTAGAGCTAAAAGTTTTCAACAAGGTCGTTTTAGACCTCAGTTTCAAACTAATTAACTCTGGCGGGAAGTATGTAAGGATCTTAAGTTTTACTAACGTTTATTTTATTTTAAATCTTTACTATCACTTCTTATTTTCTACTTCCGGCCAGAATTATAAGCGTGAAGGATTTTATGCAAAGTTTGTCTGGCGAACGCCAAGTATTTAAGTTGTGGCCTTTTTGCCAAGCAGAAGAGAGGAAGCAGTGAGTTCGAAGCAGGCCGCTTACCTTAGAAGTTACGCAGTTGCTACTTTGCCTTCCAGGCCAGAGGTTTTAATCCTCTTGATAAATTAAACGTATTGTAGTGTTCACAGTCTCTGTGCTACATACGCTTCCTGTTATTATAAGGCCAATCTTATTCTAAAGTTAAATTAGAGTTTAGTTTTATTTTGATATCTTTTACGTTAGACCCCGAGTGGAGGGTCATTGTATTCCGAAGTACGGAAGTCATTGTATATAAAGAAAAAATAAAGGGTTTTGTATACCCTTCGTCTGTATCCTGTCTACTTACTACAATTAGTGAACATAGCTTTAGTAAGCTCTCTGTTCTAGTCAGGTCATTGTATGTTTCCGAAGAAGGTTAGAAGAAACATTGAACCGATAATAGAAGAAACCTCTAGTGGTGATCAAAAAGCATGAAAGGTGTTCGTTATTTTAACCGACAAAATCACCGCGATACGCAAAAGCGTGTCCGATATGTTCTAAGATATCTGTAGTCTAATAAAATGTAAAGAGAAAAGGCTAATAACTGTGTTCTGAGGCAAACTCATTTTAACTTATTTATATTTTGAAGTGCTGGTGCCATAACGAGTAGCACAAAAACGTTGGGTCAAGAAATGTTTTAACCAAAGGAACATTTTTCCACCAACACTGAATGTCTGAAGTTTTTGAACAGCCTTTAACCTCCAAACATTATCATAAGCTGCTTGAAAATCTACGTAAACAGACAGTACTGAATTTCGTTCATCAAGTGCAGCTTTAATTGATTGGCTTAAGAATACAACTTGTTGACTTGTAGAATTGTAATTTCTAAATGCCACTTGTTTGAAAGATATTAAACCATTGGTTTCCAAGTACCACTTAAGACGGGAAACAATCATTCTCTCCATTATCTTTGATAACTGTCCAAATCCTGCTGTGGTTTGTTCTTTTTAAGAATTGGGATCAAGATGGCCTTTTTCCAGGCAGCAGGAACAGTCGAGTTCCAACTCTTATTATAGAGCTTCAGGAGGACATTCAGGGTGTTTTCGCCAAAATTCTTTAAAAATTCAATATAGATATTGTCTGGGCTTGGACTTTTTTTACATTTCATTTGTCCAATAGCTCCCCGCAATTCAGAAATAGTAAAATCTCTATTAAAAACCGAAGGTCCACGAGAGCTAGAAGAAAATTTCTCGATAATTGTTTTTCTAAGGATCTTTTGGCTCTTCTTTAGATCGTTTACCAGCACTACCAGCTTACTTCAGATAAACAGATTTCTGTATTACTGATTTTTAAAGAGATAAGGGAAAATTATAAACAGCATAAATGACTCATAAGAAGTTACTACACATATACTTACAACAACAGTGGAATGTGGGTCATTTTCATTTATTTCCCTCTCAATTTCTTGCTCATCAAGATTTTCTTGTAGAAAATAGTGCGGGAAAAAGGCACCAGCAATTACTACCTAAAATACATAATATAACACCACATGACTATACTTAAAAGAATGCATGTAACTGTATCAGTCCTTCTGAAATTTTTTAAAGTATATAAAATTTATGTATGTTTCTTCTTTGAAGAAGCTTTTGCTATATGTTAATAAGAAAACAGATCTGCAATACCATACCAACACAAAAGAGTCCGGTTTGATCAGATTGCTGAAAACAGATAAATATCTTTAAAAAAAAAAAAAAAAAAAAAAACTAAAAAGATTCAGATATTAATGACCATCCAAAGCAGCTCTCTTAAAGTTTAAAATGGTTTATCAGCAAAAATTATCAACAGATACAGCCCAGGTGAAAATAGCAAAACATTTTATGGGATATTAGATGACAATGCACTTAAACTAACATGGGAATGTTATATATCTTCTGTGTACTTAAAAGTGAAAAAATATGTAATGTAACTAATTCTATTTAAGGCTTGGTGGCTAGCGAATCACGCAGCAGCACCATAGGTCCGGGGTTTGATTCCCAGGCTGGGAAGGTCGACTCAGCCTTTCATCGCTTGATTTCCATCACTTGGGTCGATAAAATGAGTACCAAGTTTGCTTGGGGACTAAACACTGAAAGTCCTGTGACAAGCTGACCACTTGTTCAGGGCATATGCTTAAGCACCCCGGGGCCCACGGTCAAGAAAGCAGATTTCGGGCACTGTAGGCCATGGCCCATTAGGGCTGTTACGCCACTGAGTTTAGTTTTAGTTTTTTTAATTAATTCTATTTAATGTTTTTAAAATTAGATATATTATGAATCAAATGTAATTTTTATTTAACTGAATCAAATTCAAAAGTAAAATTCAAAAGTCTCTTAAGAACTGCATTAATTGCTTTTATAGAGAAATTAGTGAAACAGCTTAGTTTGTTTATCAATAAGAGACAGTGAAAGATCTTACATTCTGCCAAATGGCAACAAACTTTAAAGAAAAGTGAAACAATACAAAATTGTGTTTTAAAACTTCTGGGCTATTAAAAAAACATTCAGGAATCCCTCACAAAAATTCAATTACCTTTAACATTAATATCTTCGATTCTTCACTTTGTCTGGCTATATTCTGATGCTGATGATGCTCTTGTATACCATGATTAGCTAATCTACTCTTTATTTCTTTAATAAGCATATCAACCTACATAAAAAATTATACACATAAACCGAAAATTATATTCAAATAAAAAGGTAAGTATTTTTTTTTTTTTTTTAAGAAACATTTATTAAAATCATTTGAAGAATATCTTACTTCTCGTATTCTCTTCATCTGAATGAAATTCAATTCGCACCATTTATTTTCACTTAAACCTCCAGGCTGTCGAAAACGACTTTGGGGACATAAATTCCCGCCATGTCTATTACAGAAATAAATAATGTTGTAAATATACATACAACCTTACTTATAATATATATATATATATATAAATATATATATATATATATACTACTACTACAATAACACATTTTAGATGTTAAAAACAAATAACAAAAAATCCCCCCATATATATAATTAAGAGAAAAATAATTAAATAAAAAAAAGGGTAAGCTGACTAACTGGAAGGAAAAAACAAAATCAGTATACTAAAATAAAAAATAGTGAATATACTTTGACCCTTTTTTTCAACAGAGCCACTTTTTTGAATTATATCTGGATTATTATCAAAATAAATTAATGAAATAAATTCAATAAAATGAGTACTGCTAAGGTCACTGATGAATGCTATTAAAAATTAAGACTAATTTTTTTAATTAATCATCAAGCTACTAAAAAAAGACCTTGAAAAAGACCAATGAATACTCAACTATTCCTTATTTTATTATGCTGTTTTCTTGCTATTAGCCAGTTTACTACTTTATTTAATTATATCTTGATTGTTTAATTAATTTTGTACCATACTGCACAACTAATAATTAATAATCTTAATTTTGGGATTTTCTTATTTTGCAGTTTATAAACATACATATACAGAGTGCAAAAGGCATTTGAGAAAACAAAACTCTAGCATGCCATAACATTAACTACCTCTCTCTTTTTAGGCTTAATAACATTGTTATACCTTTTCTGCACTCTGCATCCCCATGAGGACAACAGAAAATACCATCTGTGCACCACGGCCAGAGCCCGGGAGGACAAGCAACATAATTTAAACAAATGTTTTTGAGTTACATGGGCATACAAGACCCTTCAAGGAAAGATATTGGAATCCTGTGTTGCTACAAATGAACAGTATATAAGCTTAAATGCCACACTGCATAAATTATAACATTACACATTATTATACAAAATCTTTCAATGTGAAGCCCAACATGGCACTTATTAGAAATGATGCAAGAGACAAAAAGACTTCCTGTTCTTGCCAACTTAACCATGCTCCTTAGAAATCTCGCACGTTCTGTTTCTTCTCAGATGAGAACTTTAATCAAGATAAAGGGGAGCAGGAGAAATTATAGGAGGCTTTGCACGACACTGGCTGAGGCGTTCATAGTTATGTAAACCACGTTCCTGTTATATGGGATGATCTTGGATGTTGTGAGATATGAGGGCCATGTCATGCCACCTTACTTTTTCCTGCACAGGCACTGCTTACATTGAAACATTGGACATCATGTCAATCCCCTCAATGAAGGGGGGTAATCCATACGTGTTTCAGCAAGACTCTGCTCCCTCACCGTCTACATAACTCAGGAGTGGCCAACTGAGAATTTTCATGATCTCGCAACCCCAATCATCTGACATTCTAGCTCTCCAGATTTGATTCACCTGGAATGCTAGGTCTGGAGTGTCATTTAGAGGAAGACCAACAAGTAGCCTCACAACAATAAGGATCACTGAAGACTGCCATTTTAGATATTATAGCCAACATGAATCAGGATCAACTGCTCCTGGCATGGAATCATTTTTTAAATTACATTGAAGCCGAACAAATTTTATTAATAAGATTTTGCTATACAAATGTAAAAACTAATGAATTAAATTCTGTAGGAAAATTTGTTCTTTTTTTTTTCTTTTCTTTTTTCTTTTTTTTTATTAAGAATATCGTGTTTTCCTTGTGTATTTCCTTTAACTAATTTTATTGACTGAAAATCAAGAAAGGAAAATTATGTGAGAAATTTAGTTTCCGAACAACACGGTTGCAGTAAAAATATAATAAATGAAACGTAGTCACTATTAAACTACTGGTAAAATCACAATATTATTTCTTTAAAAGAAACCACATTCCAATAAAAATATATAGTAATATTAACATTACAATAGCTGACAGATATTAAGCTGATATTTAACGGTAAATGAGCTAGACATGGTGTGCTCCACCTCCATTATAAAGCCACATGGGGCCACTCACATAAATGAGTCTTGACTGCAGTTCCCCAGAAGGACATTGCGGGAACAAAGGAGAAGGGTGGCCTACAAAAGACCCGAATTTCAAAAGATCGAACAGAACAGCAGTAGATAAGGTTACAGAGAACAGGAACATAAATAATAGAAATAAGGTGAAATCACTTTGGGAAGTTTTTTAGGTGTGATAATACCTGTCACATAGAAGTATCTTAATAAAAAATCTACCAAAAATATGTTTTAAATAACAAATGCAAGAGAAAATAAAATGGATAAAACGCTAATACAAACTGAATAAAACAAAAAATAATCAAGGGAATATAATTTATTAATAAAGTAGCTCTCAAAGACAAAAACTATGTATAAGAGGGGAAGGGGAAGATTTTGCGAATACTTCTAATAATTTCAGAAACTAGCTCTAAAAAGCTAGAGAGAAAATATGAAAGGAAATATGGTATTTATTTTCTTCAAACTATCATTTTGCTCTCAAATACGTCTCTCAAATTGACAATTAAATTCCATATCCTCATTAAATTTCTAGAATAGCATAACTTTTATAATAAAAATTTTTTTATATATACATTTTTCAAAAACTAAAAGAATTCATTCATACATAAGATGGAAACAAAACATGATCATGCCCAAATTATTGGAGTAAGTAGCAGTTACCTCATAACACGTTTTACAAAAAATTAAACTGACATGTTGAGAATTAATTGGGTTCACATATAGCCAAGGCAAAAATATTAGGATTTGGTTGTGATGTCATCCTTATCCATTACTGGCAATAAATTGTGCTGTTTGGTCACAGTTTTTGTTTGATCTGAGCAGTGGTCCTGTTCATGCTTTAAAAGGGAGTTAAAAATCTGTTATTAGCTTACTTTTAGGAAGGAAAAAAAAAAAGAAGGTGAAAGTTCTAAATTAAAAAATTTTCTAGTTACTTTAACTCTTCGGCTAGCTGAATGAGGGATACTACGGAGTTTACTGTATATCCAAAAGGCCGCAACAGCTAGTCAGCGACAAACACAAAATGAAGCTTTTTATCAGTGCTTTCAGAATTATCAGAATGCTGGTACAAATATGTGTTTGTTATACATTTATCATATTATTTTGAAGGTAATTAGGTAATAATTTAAATGTTTAACTAGAATTCCCTAGATGCTTTTTTTAGTCCAAATGGATGTTAGCCCAGGAAGGCTATTAGTCTCGAAACAGCATTTTGCATCGAATCATCGTAAACGGTTGCATCACTTTTCAAATTGTTGTCACCAAATAATATCGCACTGTATTATATTTAAAGAAGCTAAATAATGAAGAATCTGCATGAATGTTTGTGTGTTCTTCCCATTGTGATAAAACAACAGTACCTAGAGTCATCAACGGTACCTTGTTTTATTGTCTACTTCATATTTTGTAAAACATTAATGAATTTTTTATTAAAAAACTGAACAATTTCACAGCAAACAGTGGCAACACTGTAAGGAATAAAAAAATTTTATCTCCACCACAAAAGACTGTCTATCACAAATTCTAAAGATATGATGTTTTTAAATACTTTTAGCTCAATACGGCATTAGCCCAAATGCTCTTGAAACATGTATGTGTCTGTAAATGGGGGAGGGAAAGAAGGTCTGTTTGGGCATAATATAAATCTGAAAGCTTTCAGATTTTTTTAAATTTTATTTATTTATTTATTGGGAGGCAAACTTTCTAAATGCAGGGATCAGTCAAGGAAACACTGAAGGCTCAGCTCAAAATATATCTGACTATTCGGATTGGTCAATGGAAATTTAATAATCTAGTTTAATTAAAAATCTGAGCATTAGAATTAAAATATTTCACACACAATTTATAACATTTTAACAATTCCTTCTTTTATGAGAATTTAAATTATACTTCTAACCATTCTTTTCAGTGTAAAGTATCTATATCTGTAAAAGCATCATATCTGTATCAACACATTTTTCACTTAAAGATTAATTACTTGCACCATTTTGCTGAAAGTGAAAAAATTATGGCTTGCTTTTATGTGAGATTATTGCATGATTATTAATGGTATTTCAGCACAGTATTAGTGGAAATTCTGAAGAGGGGGAGAGAGGAATTCATACAACAGTTTTAACAAAAGCTAAAAATTAAACAACAGTTCATCTGAAAATAATTTTAAATACAACAGTGATCATCCAAAAGTACTTAGAATCACCATACATCTATTATTTGGCTTACCTTCAATGGAATAAAAACATTTCAAGAAACATTTCAAGAATTTTACCACAACTTCATATTCTAAAAAAGCTTAGTATCTAAGAAACACAAAACTCAACCTAGTACAATACAGTATGTCTGCTTTATTATGCTAAAATGCATGAAATTATAAAATGCATGAATCACACCTAGTATTTTTCGTCCATCTTTTTATTTATCCAGAAGAACATCTTCTAATGCAACTTTTTATTCCTAACATATATTAATTTATCAACTTACTTTATATGCATTTAGATATGCCAAGCAGTCACTAAATGTATCATTAGCCCAAGCAAGCCTGGATCTAAAATAAGAATAAATAAATCACATCAGAAAAAATTTATAAATAAAGTAAAGTGTATTTCAACAAAAAAACTTTTAACAAGATTAAATGACACATCAAAATTACTTATATAACAATCTCAAATTTTTCAGAAATCAGACTAATGTCAAAAGACAGCATTTTTTTAACTGCCACAGATTTAAATAAATAAATTTAATTTCTTAAAATTACTAAAATTCAATGTTCATATCTTATGCAAATATTAAAAAAATCCAGACAGTTGCATAAACATTTTTCTACAATTTGTCAAATATATAAATGGGAGAATTTTATTTCTTCATTTATCATATTCTGATAGCAATGTAAAAGTACTTTATTTCCATGCAATAAAAATCAACCTTTTTTTTTTTTCCAAAATTGAATAATGAATTTTTTCAATATGCTAAATACAATACTACAAAATTTATTTCAATTGAAATAAAAATCTTAAAGTTATGTATTACACTCACGTTTGTGAAAATTGCAACACCATGAAGGACTTATGCGAGTGAGCTGAAATTTTCAGGAAATGCAAAGTAGCGCATGATATGCAAATGATTAGAATTGCAAATCCGTAGCGCATGCGTATGCTGAGCAGCGCCCTCTGAACGGCTGATGGATCCGAATAAATAGACGGCTGTAGCGAGGCGTGTATGGTTATCGGTGGTTATCTGCTAGTGGTAAACGTTAACTCAATCTGTACTTATGCCTCGTCGACGAAAGAGAGCGAGATTTGAACAACTTACAGAGTTGAAAGAGGGAGAATCATCGGCCTTCGTGAAGCTGGATTGTCGTATCGTGCAGTAGCCTCTCGTCTGCAGCGTAACAGCAGCACAGTGATGCGCGTTTGGAAGCAGTGGACGGACGAGTGTCGGACAACTCGGAAATCCGGGAGTGGACCCCGAAATGTGACATCAGCTCACGATGATAGACACCTGGTCCTCATGGCACGGACGGACCGTACAGCTTCCTCTAGACAATTGGCAGCACTGTGGTCAATAGCTACAGGTGTTTCATTGTGTGCTTCATCAATTCGTAGACGTCTGCTGCAGTGTGGACTGCGCGCACGGACTCCTTTATACAGGATCCCCCTAACGCACGACCATCGCCGCCTGCGGCTACAATGGGCCAATCAGCATAGAGACTGGCGTGCTGATTGGCAGCATGTCGTGTTTTCTGACGAATCCCACTTTAATTTGTGGTACCATGATGGCCGCATTCGTGTCAGACGCTATGCCGGTGAACGCCACCTTCCGGAGTGCATTATCGAACGCCACAGTGGACGAACACCCGGAGTTATGGTCTGGGGCGCCATAGCATATCATAGACGATCTCAATTGCTACGAATTGTGGGCAATCTGAACAGCAACCGGTATATCCGTGAAGTTCTACAGCCCGAAGCTGTTCCCTTCCTTCAAAGCTTGCCAGGCGCTGTATTTCAACAGGACAATGCCCGCCCTCATACTGCTCGGATTGTTAAATCCTTCTTTGCAGCGCAGCAGGTACAGCTTCTTCTTCCTTGGCCTGCGTGTTCCCCAGATATGTCGCCAATTGAACATGTGTGGGATGTCATTGGTCGGCGTCTTGCTCGTGATCCTCGTCCTGTTGCGTCTGCAGACGAACTTTGGGTACGCGTACAAACGATATGGAATGCTCTTCCTCAGTCAGACATTCAAACTTTGTTTGACTCCATGCCACGTCGTGTAGCAGCACTTATTGTGGCGCGTGGTGGCCACACAAAATACTGATTCTGATCTCTTGTTCTTGTTTGTTTGCTTTGAACATTTAATCATTTATTTGTACCACTACCACTCAACTGTGTATTAAATTGCAATAAATTCAATTATGACGATTCCTTCTTGGTGTTGCAATTTTCACAAACGTGAGTGTATTTACATACTCTAAAACCAAACAGTTTTGCTGTTTTTGCCTAGTTTTCAGTTTTACTACACTAAATTAAATACAGCATATATTTTCTACTTGAATAGAATAAAACACAACGTATTTCAATTCAAATCAAAATAAGATACTATTCAGTGAAATATCAATTAAGCTGAAAAAATATCACATGGCATATTTAACTGCCAAAAAAATGGGCCTTTATCCTAAAGAATAAAATAACACCCAGAGAACAACATAATACACACCAGAAAATTAACAGAAAGTATCTGACTGCAGTTATGCAGAATACTGCAAAATAAAAAACTTCTTCCAAAGAGAGCAAACTGACAAAAAGTTGTCACATTTGTTTAGTGTGATTTTTTAGAAAAGAAGCACTTTTCATGTCTAAACAATGATTTATACAGCAAAATATATTTATATAGCTCAAAACAATTTGGTTTCAATTTCTTTTCATAAGAAATTTGTATACTCTTTTCTACATTTGATCAAAGACACTTTTGCAACAATGCATTTATAATTTTTTTAATTAGAATTAATCTATAGAATGAAAATATGCAAATTTAGTGAAAAAAATATTATTTTGAGATAATAGAACTAATTTTAATTAAATTGAAAAAAAATAAGGAATCATTATTTTAGAAAGGAGTAAAAATAATATTTATAAAAGCAAATTGTGGGTGATGTGCAATAAACTTGGTTGCCAATTTGTTTACCTTCAACTTGCATTTGAATGTAATTTTCTAGTCCCTATTCATAACTTTATTATGGTTTAACAAGCACAACTTTTGAAAAAAATTAATCTATATTAAAAATCATTATCAAATTAAGCAAAATTTTAATTTTTTCTTAACTTTTATTATTCCAAAAAGAATTCTTTGTAAACCAACATAGAAAATAATCCTTTATTTTTCCTCTGCACATTGTCTAATGATATATTTATCAACTGTCACAAACTGATAAAAAGAAACCTCAGAAATCATTTTTTTTAAATCAACAGCACGTAATGCATACAAATGAAATCCAACCAAACTACAGAATTTGTAAAAGAGTTAATTTTTATGCAATTTTAGAACAGAAAATAAAAAATAATATAAAGCAAGCATCCCAAAATTTCCAAAGCAGGGGATAGTTTCAGGCTAAAACCAATATTTCTGAGAAAGCAGTAAAATAAGATTAAAGTAATCCAGTATAAGTTGGAAAATTTTAAAGAGATTTGCAATTAGAGTCAGAATAACATTAGAAAGGAGTTTAGAAAACTCATTTATGGGAAAACTTTTTAGGTCAAACTGGATTCTACTAACAATTTTATATGCATAATTATTTTAATGGAAGGGAGATATAAAAACACTCATGCAAGCAATGTATTCCATTGCTGACAAATCCAATCATTGATGATAACAATCTCCCGTTCTACTCGGCCGATTGACAAAATTCAAATTGCGTTTTTCACGTCTCGAAAGTGCGACTTTGTATATACATATATATATATATGTCATAATAAAAGCAAAGGAAATGACGAAGCAGTGTCGATGCTTGATTAGATCCATATTGAAGAAGAATTTTGATTCCGTAGTATTTAAAGAACTTGGCAGTCGAGGCAGTTTTAATTCCATTTTTATTTCCAATCGATATTTGTGGCCACAATCACTTGGCACTCTAGTCGTGCCTTTCCACAGAAGATTTACATTTTTAATATTGTTGAGATAGAAAGCAAGGCAGCAAAATTACGTCTTAGCACAGCACAGAGCAAAAGCTGAAGTGCGTAGTTATGAAAGATGGAAGCATGCGAAGAGAAAAGTTTCGGTTTACAATTTGGTGATTGGTCGAGAGGGATCTGCATTATGGGTTAAGTAAGATCGCATGATTAATTTGAATGACGCAGTTTAGACTTAAGCGCTATTTTTAGGACAGATAGAGGAAGTTCTCAAATGAAATAGAAAATAATGGAAGTTATAGTGAATTAAGTCAGTGGCGTAGCGAGAGGGGGGCAAGGGGGTGTATGATGCCCCGGGCCCCGCTCGTACAGGGGCGCCAAATGGTCTCCAAACAAGATTTTCAGGAAAATTTCAGTTTTTATTTTGATCGATTTCTGGAAAATATATTTAAAATTAATAACTATTGTAATATAATTAATTATTTATTTTCTTGATTTGTGTAATAAAATGCTTGCAGTACATCAGCCAAAACGTTCTTTCTGACCACTTTATTTCTCCAAAGTAGAGATATATATTTAAACGAAATGCACGTATATCTCCTTTTTATTTTAAAACGATAACACGACCTTGTCCCGAATTTCTCAAATATATCCAGTTTCCAAAATCCGATTCCATAATCTGGAAATGACTTTTTTGAGATTCCGCTACAATGGATTGCGTTTGACTCTCCTGTAAACGGCTGATGGCCTTCCTGGCTACTGATTCAACTAAGTCATCTTGCTGAGACGTCGTATATTCACTGCGAAGCATTCAACGCATATGAATTGTTTTTAATCTTCTATTACAAAAGGAAATACTACAGGTCGTTCCTTACTCCTTATCTAAAACGCATAGTTTTCGACGTCACAGACTAAATTTGCACATTCCCAACTTTGTAAACGTTATAATTTTCCTGTATAATCTCTTCTATTTTCTTTTGTTCAAAAATGCTATCGATTATATGGTTATTTCATACCGAACCCACAATACACCCTAATTGTTTTGAGCAGTGAATGTGACTGCATGACGTTACGTTACTCCGCAGTAGAAAAGAAACAGAACCTAAAACTCCACTGCAGATCTATAGAGAATATGTTTTTCCAAACCTAAGAGTCGCACTTTAAATACTACTTACTATGAACGTTCGTTCAGCAAATTAAAATAAATTTTCACAATATTTACAATCAACGGTGGGACAAGATCCCCTAAGTCATCTAGCATTTTTAAGTGTGGAAAGAGAAAAATTTGAAAGGATCGACTTTGATGAAGTAAATGATAAATTTGCTTCTAAATTTTCAAGGTAAGAAAAATGTATACATAATAATTAATTTTATTCATGTATATATATTATTATTAATAAATATAAGAGCTCGACCAAGTCGAGGT